CTTTGAGTCAATGTGGTCTCGACACGTGTGTTTTGTGCCTGCATCGGTATTTTTTGCTGGAATTGGTCATTAGCGCAGTAATTGTTTGATTTTCACGATATTTTCTTTTCTTTCAGATGTTCTGAGTTCCGGGATTTGGCTTGAAGCAGCCTCATTGTCCGATTCCTCTTTGAGTGACATGGTTCCAGGCCTTATTAATCTGCAATTAGATGCTAAGGCTCCGTCCACGGTGCTGAAGTACAAGTCTGGCTGGTTGAGGTGGCGCGAGTGGGCTCTGTCGAAGATTGGTGTTCCCGTTATTCCAGCAAAACCTTTGCATATCGCATTGTTTATCTCCGAGCTAGCTAAGCGTTCTTCCGAGAATAACATCGGTGTATCTTCTATAGAATCTGCCGTTTATGCTATTAAGTGGGGCCACGCAATGGCCGGTTTTGAGGCTTGTCCTGTTAGCCATCCCTTAGTAAAGTTTGCGTTAGAAGGCGCCAAAAGAAGGCTTGCCCGACCTGTTCAGCCTAAGGAGCCGCTGTCGGTTAGCACCGTACAGGCGATTGCTACGCATTTTGCCTCAAGCGCTTCACTTTCCGATCTTCGTTTTTATTTATTCTTTTAGTTGGTTTTGCAGGCTTTTTTCGCATTGACGAGATTAGGAATATAGCACTTCGTGATGTCTCAATACATAGTGATCATATGTCAGTTTATTTACCTCAGCGCAAAACGATCAGTATAGGGAAGGCCACACTGCTTTTCTCGCTAGAACCGGCAAGGTTACTTGTCCTGTAGCCGTGACCGAGCGGTTGATTAAGCTTTTGCCACAGTCTTCCTCTGCGTTGCCTTTAGTTCGCAGAATTGTCAAAACCAAGTCTAAGGAGTATTTTCATTGTAGTTTGGGTGTTTCTGTTTCCACTTTAAGGGAGGAATTTAAGAAGCATATCAGACCATTTGTTAGTGATATTTCTAAGTACGGCACACATAGTATGAAGTCTGGCGCGGCTTCAAATCCGGCTTGTAGGAAAATAGCTGGCGACTTGTTAGATATTCATGCTGGTTGGAGGTGTGAATCCACTAAGCACAGATATATTAAGCATGATCTTAGCGAGCGTTTAGCCGTATCTAAGGAACTTTCCATTTAGTTGTCTATGATATTCGTATATATATTTTATCTTTATATATTTTTCAGTATTCTTTGGCGATTGTTTAATCGGAATTAGATTTTCGCTTTTGCTGGCTTTGTAATTTTGAGCAATTTATTTAATATATAGAGTCCTGGCGGGGGACGTAAGATGTGCCTGGCCCGTCAAAGATTTCCTGCCCTTTTTTCCCTACGGGGTTTTTTGGGGCAGGTTTTTTCTGGCCACCCTGGTACGCTTACATGTAGCTTTAGTTTAATTACCTTTGCTGTAGCTATGTTCATTTTTTGACTATCATTAAAGTGGGTTATGGCGTTACTCCCAGGCCATATCCAATATTCTCCAGTATTTGTTTGGCTATTTTCGTTTCTTGTTTTTCTATTAACTTCTGGTAAGTGCAGAAAACTAATAGGAGACGCCTCTTTCACTTTGTCTTTGTTACTACCTAGCAAGGAAGCGTTTTAATTGATTAATTAATTGATTATTATAAAATAAGTTATTTAAAATGTTATAGATTTAAACTTTTATTCACAACATGGCTTGCTTAGAAAAGTTGATTCAAGTAATTTTTCTGTGTTGGTTTAGTTTCCAAAGGAGCCTTCAGTTTTTGTGACCGTTGCACATCACCATGCCGGACTAAAGAGAGACGCCGCCAGTATTTGGTTGGAGGATATCAAACGATCTTCCTTTAAAATATGTTTAAGAGAACTGCAAAATTACGCAGGCTCACATGAGGACATCTATGTCGTATGTAGCATACTTCATTTTTTGCCTTTTTACGTCCTTTCTCAGCATTATATTTGTTGCGCGTTGAATTGTCTCAAATTACATAATGTAGCGAATTTTCTCTTTCTTTCCATTTTCCTTTTCTTTTCTTTTTCTTTTCTTTTCTTTTTCTTTTTTTTTTTCTCTTTTCGTAGAACTGGTTGGCTTTTTCGTCACTTGACAAGCCCATGTTCTCAGAACACAGTTCAGTTTATTTTGCAAACTCTCAGAAGCCTGCGGTCGGGAATAATAACGCATTCTGCAAGGTCAGTATAAAAAGTATCTCGCTTAACTTTATTTTTTGTCACGTTTTCACCATACGTTAATTTGACGGCTCTTTTCATCGATTTTGAAATTCATTGTATGTTCTTTTATTAGGATATTTCCTTTACCAAATTGTACAAGAATGCCCCAAGTGTATTTGTATCAGCGAATCACACCTCCAGTGGGGGAGGTCAGGATCCAATGCACAACTCCATAACCGCTTGGGTTGAGGTGAGTCAGTGACTGCTAAAACTTGGACATGTGGAACGGTATCGTGAGCTTGTGATCCTTGTTGAGCTTGCTTTCATGGCAGTAAACTAATAGTGATTATAATGTGTAGGAAATGGTTCGGTGATAAAAAGACGTTCTAAAAAATGATTGAACTAACATGGCTCCACACTTGTTTTCTTGCATCTAAAGTTACGTTTTCCTTAATTTACGTCATAGTTCCTTAATTTGCGTCATATCTTCTTTGTTCCCGGGGGATTTCAGTGACAAGACTAAGACCAATGGTGTGTCAAAATGGCCTCAACTTTGAACGTTTAAGAAAAAAATCTATAAAACAAACAACGTTGTGTTCGCGTCGCAAAATTTTTCCGCAGACGATCGAGGTTCTCGCAGTAATGTGTACTTTCAAATAATAATAATAATAATAATAATAATAATAATAATAATAATAATAATCTTAATAATAATAATAATAATAATAATAAATGTTAGGTTATGGGCACTTAAACCAGTTTCAATGACGTAATGACTTAACGCAGTGCTTTAAAAGTCGATAGAACTGTATTTTAAGGTACCAACAGTAATCAGAAGCAAATTAATTTTTTGTCTAGACTAAGACACGATAATTTAGGATTGGTGAATTAAAACATGTACAAATGATCATCTGTTTTTGTTTATTTTGTTTTATTTATTTTATTTTTAATTTTTAGTACATCAATGCAACAGGGGCGCGAGTGTGTACAAAGGAATTGTACGACTCAAAGTACGACCCTCTCTCCGTATCATATACTGTCTTGTCAGGTAAAGGGCGACATCCTTATCAGACTAGGAACTCTTTTACATAGATACAGCTAACTTAATATTAACCAACAATATTAACCTGAAAGGCGGTGCTTAAGGTAATCCTAATCCCTACAGACACCGCCAAAGACCTTGGTGTGACTTTGGATTCTAATTTAACTTACGATGAACATATAATTAAAACCGCTTCCTCGTGCATGTCCCGCCTTGGCCAGATAAACCGTGTCAAGCATGTCTTCGACAAACGTACACTTTTGATGATTATTAATTCCTTAGTTTTTAGCAGGTTATTTTATTGCTCCAATGTTTGGTCAAATACCTCAAAATGTAATGTCAACAAGTTACAGGCAGTGCAGAACTTCGCATGCCGCATTGTTAGCGGCGCGCGTAAATTTGACCATGTTACACCAATTCGCAAGGAGCTAAATTGGCTTTCAGTTCCCAGTCAGCTTTATTACCGGAACGCTACAATGGCTTTTAAATGTATGACCGGTCAAGCCCCTGAATACCTTACATCAAAATTCATAAAGCGAGCAGAGGTTAGCCGACGTAGCACCAGAAATTCACAGCTTTTACAAATTCCCTTTTTTAGAACAGCTGCCGGTCAGAGAACATTTTTCTATAGAACTGTGAACTTATGGAACTCCTTAGACAATTCCTTTAAACTGTGTAACTCGATTGATGTTTTTAAAACTCGTTTACGTACTAAATCACTTAAAGAATTGTAATTTTATATATATTTTAAAACATTTTTTAATTGTAAATAGGATCATGTATTGTCTTTGAAAAGCCCCTTGGGAAAGTCAATAAAGTATGTATGTATGTATGTATAAACCGGTTTATTCCAGCACCCATTAAAGCGTGGATGACATTGCAAGAGTGGATTTCTTTTAAGACGCGTCGGTACGAGTTGCCGTTGTGAAGCACTTTTTTTAACTTGATGCGCATTAATTAGTACACTTTATATACTGTTAGTATGATTTCATGCAGTTTTTAAGTGTCTCTAGCTTATTAAATGTAGGCACTCGATATATTTAATTATGTTTATCAAACGTAAGGTACATAGAGTGATAACTATCCGAGGTAATTGGGTATCTTAATTCCACAAATGTTGCATCTATTTCCCAGGTATTTGCCAACCAGGTTGGAGCTATTTTAGTGGCTACTGTTACTTTACAAGTCGCACTTGTGGCTCGTGGCTCACTGCTGTATCAAACTGTTCTACGATGAGTTCCAGTTTGGTAACAGTTCACAACCAGAATGAAAACGTCTATATTCAACACCGTCCCAACGGAGAGAGATCCTGGATCGGACTCAATGACCGAAGTGTGGAGGGTTCCTTTGTGTGGACAAACAAAGAAATAAGTAGTTTTAGGTTCTGGGCCCCACAGCAACCGAACGACTGGAAAAACGAAGATTGTGTTCACACTCTTGGAGCCAAGCATGGTTACACCTGGAATGATGTGCCTTGTCATAAATGCTATAACTACACTTGTTTTAAAGGTATTAGGCATACCAAGATCATTAATAATTATGTTTTATGAACCTCACTTAGCAGATAGTGCCCCAAGACATTCAACTATATCAACTTTGAATTACATATTAAATGATTCAACAAACATGAGCTCAGGGCAAGCTTTGTAAGACAGGATAAGAGTAAAGAGTGTTTAATTTCTTCACTATGTGATATTCCCTTTTAGACTTGGATGAATGTACCACTGGTTCCCATTCCTGTGACGTCAATTCCGTTTGCCAAAATAACGCGGGTTCATACACATGCTCGTGTAATGCCGGGTACACAGGAGATGGAAAAACCTGCAATGGTATATTTATAGATAATAAGTAAACTGAGGCCGCGTCCACACGAATCCAAAAGCCAAAAGGCAGTTCTCAAAAATATTCGGTTCGTGTGGGCGGATTCTGAGAAGGCAATAAAGTCAAAAAATGGCTGAAGCGTGCAATTCCTACGGGGTGTGAAACAAACCGTTAACACTGTCACCTGCCTTGTTTCGCAGAAAAATAAGAAAAATGAATACTTTGACCTTAGCAACCAAGTGTAAACTATCAAGTAGATAATTCAAAACACTTGCCCGTTTTTGATTGCGTGTTCCCCCAGCTAATTTTTCATAGCCATCTACCGTTAACCAGATTTGGAAGATGTTTGCAGATATCCTCAGAGATGAGACTAGTAAGACATCCTCGGAGACCTAGGGGCAGTTAGTTATGCCGTTTCTCCTGACTCGACTGAGGCCCCTGCTACACGAATCCGGAAACCGCATATTTCTTTACACAACCGTATTCGTATGGACGAGGCCTTAAACCTATCTGGAGCGCGGTTTGAGAAAGATGCAGCTTCGGTGAAAGGATTCATAGGTTTCATGTGGACGAAAGGCCGGTTCGTGTTTAAAAAATATATATATTGGCTGTTCCAAAAAAAATCCGGTTTTGTGTGGAATCTGGCTTGACTGCCCCTGGGTTCCCAAGAATTTTAACGGTTAATTATTCATCAAAAAAAGGATAGCCGAAGGCTTGGTAGTTCGGTTTTGGTAATGCTGGAGAAAATGGCGAAGAAAAAAAAAAAGAGCCGAACTACTCGTTAACGGCAAAGCAAAAAAGCAAACATACCACTTGACCGATGACAGCTGCCCATGAAGATAAATATTTTCCGGCTAGACTAAACTTGCCCTTATTTCCTGAATTTTCCGAGGAAGAGGCAAATGTTATGCAGACGAAACTTTACATCGATGAAGAAAAGCATGATTTAAGGTTTTGAAATACCTTCAATTAATTAAAAAAATGTTTGATTCTGCTTTGTATGATATGAAGAATTATTCAGGTCTCGAGGGGGATGGGAAGGGGAGGGGAAGAGGGTAAAAATAAGGAAGCCGAATCCAATAATTGCTGAATAATTGATCAAAGTTACGCTGAACTGCCATCAGGCATATGCAAAATCTCTTATCTTTACGCCAAGCTTCTCTACATTTTCCCAGATATCGACGAGTGTTCTTCCAATGCCCACAGCTGTGGCGTCAATGCGGTGTGTAACAATACTGTTGGATCGTATGCATGCGCATGTAAAGCAGGATATTCAGGAGATGGAAGAAAATGCACTGGTAAGGCGTTTTGATATTTTTCTAAAGGTGACTTAGAAGAAAGGGATACTGTAAATGACTCCTGTATAAACTTGCTCATACTCGAGTACAGACGAAAAAGGTTTTTGGTAGGTAAGACAACAACAAAACCAACAACAGAAACAATCATATACTTTGTTGAATAGGAATTAACTTAGAGTACTGGATGCCTGGTATAGCCGTTAGACAGCCATTAGTAGCGAGGCAGCCAGATGATGTGATCATTAAATGAAAATAACCCATGAAGCCCGTAAGCAGCAGTCTTTCGCGTGCGGGGTCTGGGGCGCTGGTTTCGGAACGAGGAGGGTACGCAGAAGGGACTGTTATGACTGGAAGCATTATCATAGATTAGGGAGTGCCTTCGACATGGGTAATATATTGCCGAAAATAGAACCTGATAGGTAACGTGAAGGCTAAAACGGTGTGTTGCGTTTCATTTTCTGGGTTTAATTCGCATTTTGCCTATTTTGTTCGTTCATTGTGGAGCGCTGTTTTGTGAGGAGTTTGAATGGCCTGAGAAAACAGCCGAAACTTCGCGACGTCACCGCTGTTTTCCCCACGAAATGACATCTGAGAAACGAGCGCAAAATTTCCACCCTGATGACGCGCCACTACCCAGCTGTGAGTAGTGCTTCTGATTAGTTGAAGCAAATTTTCAGCCAAACAGATCCAGGTAGTGACGTCATCAGGATGGAGTTATAAAGGAGCTGAGAAGCATATTGTGAACTTTGATTTGTGGGGAGTTTTAGTTGATAAATCCGGTTGGATAACAAAATTAGCAGTCAGGATCAATGCATTATTCAAAGTACTTTTATCGCGACTCCTTCTTCTTTGGATATGTGAAACTTTGGAGGGCTCTTCGCGAAGAAAAATAAACGTCAACACGATACACTTCAGCGCGTCCACGAAAATTGGCAGTAACCTTTCAAACTCTAGCCTAAGAAAACAGCGGACATTTCAAGACGCTACAACTGGTTTCCCCTCGAAATGACGTTCGAGAAACGAGCTCAGAAACTCCATCCTAATGATGCGTCACTACCTAGATCTGTTTGGCTGAAAATTTGCTTCAGCCAATCAGCAGCACTACTCACATCTGGGTAGTAACGCGTCATCAGTATGGAAAATCTACGCTCGTTTCTCAGACGTAATTTCGTGGGGGAAAAAAGTGGTGGCGTCGCGAAATTCTACTGTTTTCTCAGGCTATTGAAACTCCTCACAAAACAGCGCTCCATAATGAAAAAACAAAATAGGCAAAATGCGAAACCCAGAAAATGAAACGTAACACATCGTTTTAGCCTCCACGTCACGTATCAGGTTCTATTTTTCGGCGATATGCCTATGTGTGTTAAATCTCAATTCTATGAGGAGCAGATCAAGGAAAATTTTTATTATTACTTATTTTCAAGCTGCCTGCCGAGAAACACGTTTTATTTGGGAAATTTAAGTGACATGCACATGGCTGAGCAGATGACGCGATCACTAGACAAAACTTGTTAAAAAGTAATGGCTTATTATTGAAAGTCATCCCTCGAAATAAACCACGCGCTTATCATGTGACTATTTCATTTTCATTTGGTCCTTGTTTGCATATAGGGAAAGTACGTATCGCCTCAATTCAAGGGAATTTCTTGTGGCATGCTTTCAAACTCTTCGTCTTCGCCAAAAAGTGTTCACTTCTGATTGGTCCCCATAGAATTTCCTTGCCTTACTTAAGTACGTTCACAGCTCGACAACGAAAGGGAAACGTTTTTGCGATGAAAAGTCCTGAAAATACTATTTTCAGATACGCAACGAAAGAAAAACGCACATGACGCACTCACGAGAATGGATTGGCTGCAAAGGCTGAGAGAGCGCGATGTACACAAGGCCATGCAAAAAATATCTGTGGGAGCGCCATCTTAGTAACCACAGGATTGTTTGGAAGGTCAAAACGTCCTGGCTAGATCGTGTACAGGACACCCCCCCCAAAAAAACAGCCAACCACACACAAGATCGGGGGGTTGCATTCTAGTCGAGCGCAAAACTGCTACGGAAAAATAGATTTAGTTTAGAAAAAAATGAAATGTTATTGTCGTCGTTCCTTTTTCCATGACATCAAAACTTGTCAAGACAGTGCAAACTCAAACAATGTAAGTGCAATGGTTATTGTCCAGTAAGTGCAACGATTGCTGAAACCTGTTTTTGATCAAGTTTATGTTATTTCAGTCCGTTTCCCTTGTCTCCTGCCACCTCTTTACTGAGAAAATGGGCGTGATTATACTTATTGTTATTTTGTTTATTTCCAGATATTGACGAGTGTGCTAGCGGTACTGATGACTGTCACAGTTCACGCGCTTTATGTACAAACACAGTGGGATCCTTTAATTGTTCATGTAGCAGTTCTTACATTGGAGATGGCAGAACTTGCAATATACCATCAGGTAATTAGGCAAAGATAACAAGGACAATATAAGTAGGAAGATTTTCATTTACCAAACCCGTACACTAGTGAGTGATGCACCTTGCGCTGACCTTGGCTGCTTGAACGGGTTTTTACGTTAAAAATCCATTGGCCGGTTTAAAAGGAAAGCTTTTGAGACCTTCGACCACTGTGTGGTCACGGGGAATACCCTTGTTTGTTAATGAAGTCCTACAGGAAACGGCCTTGAGGGGGCACAGTATTCGGCTCGACTTGTGGGCAAGTCTACTTTAATGCAATTTATACTGTTACTTTAAGGGGAGTTGACTTTCTCAACTTTCCTAATTAACTGCGATAGCAGTCACTACCTCTATGAAAAACCGAACAACAATAACGAGGCGAATTATAAGAATTACCTATAAGATTAGGAAATACACGTGAATAAGTTTCTGAGTCAGAAGTACACGAACAATTAAATAATCGTTGTGTTTTTCCTGTCTTTGTTCATTTCCGTTTTGATGGTAGTCTTATGGAGTCTTTAGAGTTGTATTCTTGATCTCGGTTCTGTAAAAGACTCAGCATAGTGCCCGCCAATCAAATCTTGCGGTGCAATATTTTGAGCAACAGGGTAGGATAATGAGGACCCTGCTACGCGTCCTTTTGTCACTGGTCAAATAACGGATTCAACGATCGACTTTTTTGCTTTGTTATACGGTATTTTGTTTTTCTTTGTTTGTTTTTACCCTTACGTAAATTTTAGCTACTTGCAAAAAAATGGCTCAAATGGCTAATTATTGCCTACGTCATGAAACCGAGCAAGACGGGAATGTATAGCTGACCCTTGAGCTGTGTCGGGCATCCTTGCTCAATGCGTTTAGAAACTACGTTTTCATTATAAGTGACCTTATATAAATATACTATAGTGGTTATGCAGAGTGCTTATAAGAAAAGACCTTTCAGTTAACAGTCTTTTGACAATATAACTGGCACAGAAAAAATCTCAAAGTGGCGAATCTTTGTACGCAAAAGGCTTATAATCAATTGTTAGTTGCCAGAACGTTTTTGTAAATGTTAGTATTGAATGATTGAATCAGCTTCATGATTACAAAATTGATATCGTTACCTGTAATTATTAACTATGGTCAATCCTGAAATAGTCAAGCACTTTTCATATATGCACGGACCTATTTTCCCTGAGAAATACTCGGCAAAGCTAAAGGCGGTGCATGCATCCATGTATTCCTAAATCAAAATTTAACGTCGTATTTAACAGAGATAACTCATCTGTTTACCGTCACAAGTTATGACGATGCCTAACATATACTGCTGATGGGTAATAGTGTTTTCTTCCTGTGTTGTTGTTGGTCAACAATGAGGATGTGGTTGGGGAATTTAGAACATGAAAAGTTCCCCTCTTTTACCAAGAGCTCGCCCTACGTAACGGAATGCGGATTCCGGAATCCAAGAAATTTTTGCTGGTGGAATCCAGAATCTGGGAAATTGCTTGTGGAATCCGGAATCCTAGGCTTTGGAACCCGTAATCCTTCTAAAGATTTAAATCCAGAACCCAAGTTCTATTGACAAAGACCGGAATCCAGTACCTGGAATCCGGAATTCACGGCGTGGAATCCAGAATCCAAGACTGTCTTGGATTCCCTTACGTGGGACGATCGAGCTGATGTACAACTAAATGAAACGTTGCTAGTGACTGATGTTCTTTCTTCTCTTTTGTGTCAGAATGTCAGAACTACGGGAGTCTCAACAGCGGAAGCCGAAGGACTTCGTATAGCAGCTACTACCACTATTATTGTGATAGCAGTCTTGGCCCTGGATGGTTCCGTTTCCAGGGGTCTGCCGGCACAAGAATGGCAACATCATGTCCATCTACCTATAGGTGTGGTACCTATTATCCCGGCTGGCTATATGGTGGACACCCCTCAGTAGCGGACGGTCTGGTCACCAGGACGGTGTATTTTAATAATGGTTACTGCAATGGCTACTCGAGAAACATCAAAGTGAGAAATTGTGGTTCGTATTACGTGTACTATCTTAGTGGTACACCTACTTGTAATCTCCGTTACTGTGGCACTAACTAGACACAAATGCAAACAAAGTCTATATGTATACATATTCTATCATTTCACTAAACTAGGCTAAAGTAACCATCTAAAAAAAAAGACTCTACTTACACTGTAACTTCAATATCAATATCTGTTTATAATAACTTCAGCAAAGAAAGAAAAAGTGAGATAGGACAACGTACTACTTTTAAGCCTTTTGGCAGATTATAGTGCTTATAACGTAAACATTTTAATTATGTAATGGAGACCTAATTTTTAATGACACTCTTCAAAGAAAGCTTTACAAATGACTTTATTCGGGTGGATTACAAAACTTTTCGATGCAACTAGTATAAAAAACACATCTCTAAAAAAAAAATGTCTAACTTGGAACCAGACCTTTCGGGCCTTGAGACTTGGTCTCCGCGCCGCTTACATGCAAATTTCGAGTAAAAACTAGAAAAAAATCATGTCAATGAAAACTTAGAAAAAACTCCAAAACATATTATATTAACTGAAATTAATGCTAATTACTGAGTCTAACAATAACGGCATGCATTTGCTAAATAAACTACGATGGACAACATGATAGTTAAGATGTAGGGAGTACGGAGTATAAAGCTGCTTACTTGTTTTTTGATCGGTCCAGGGAAGCACTCTGTGAAATCGGGAGCGAAATGGATATAAGGACTAGGGATACAGTCAACTCTCACCTTGCGGACACCCTGCTATTACGGGCACCCCGGCACTGATACGAACAGCCGCTAAATCCCTCCCTATTGCGGACTTCTGTTTTCTATCAAAGACACTAACTCGGGGTCCTTAGAGTGACTTCAATAAACGAAAGTTGACCACACAGGGTTGAGCCCTGATTTTTGGACTATATTAGAATAAGAGTTTCATTGAAAAATAAAGGCACAATTTAATGGCATTAATAACCTCCTGCTCTTGTACGTTGGAGTAATTTTACTTACTGCCGGAATCCCTCAGGCTTTTCCTTTCTTCTGCAAATGGGGGCTGTGTTTTTTAAACCTCAAGGGGATTACCAAATTTTTCATGAAGGATCAATCAAAATGCATTCAGGTCTAAGCAGTTAAAGACGTCATCTCGTGTCATCATTGCACACCGGATATGGAGAGAGGACCTATTAAGATCATTTTAAGAATATTAAAGAAGATACATGTCCATCTTAGATATAATTAGTCCCTCTGGACAACTGGAAAAGACCTTGTTAAACTTCTGTCTAGTAGTATGACGCAGTAGTGAATAAATAAAATGCTGTTTGCCAGTTAATTGTTTTGCCTTTTCATGTTTGGTATGCATTATAACTGGAAACGGGGAGAAAAGAAGGTGTAAACGGCAGAAGGGAGTTTGAGGTGGGAAGAGCGGGTAATAAGGAGTAGAACTGAGCCATCGTTGAGGGACCGAGGTTAGGCGACTTATATCTAGCGTCCGTTACAGATAAAAGAATGAAGACAACAGGGATCTTAAGATTAAGGCTTTTCAGCATTTCCCGAAAACCGCGAACGTCAAGAAGTCACGTGACCAGGGCCTTGCCGTTAGGTTTGCGATTTGACTTTCACGTTTGTACGGCTAGACCACGCTCCGGAGGGAAGTGATTTACCGCAAGGTTTACTGCACCCTAAAACATCACAATCCCACGTTTGAGAAGAAAGACGACTTTTTAGAACTCTTTTGCTTATTGATAATTGAATTCTATTTTTTAAAAACCGTAATTTTGAAGACAATTTCTCAGCTAAAATAGAGGTAAGTGGATGGAAGAAAACAAAAACAGCAGCCGCGAGCTACCACAGACGGGTAAGGTGGACCGGGCGGTTCCACTGTGTGATGTCACAAGTAAGATAAGCTTGTAAGCTTTCGCATCACTCGCCTGAAGCAAAAATAAATATATATTGTGTAACTTTTGCGTGTGCTGAAAAGTGAAAAACCCTATATTAAATGCTTCTGAACTGTACGTTTTAGAAAGGGAATTGAGCTATAATCCCCTCAAGCGTTACCAACTGAAAACTTAGCTAGCTCATATTCTTGACGGTGGGTTTAATTTTACTGTGTGAAACAAGTGTGCAAGTCGCGTAGCACCCTTATGAAGCGAAATGAGATGTCAATCATGTAATTTTTGCGCGTACAGAGACGTGAGAAACCCTATGAATCCTTCTAGACAATACGTTCCATTATTGATTCTAGAAAGGAAACTGAGATTTGAACAGGCTGCCATATTAAGCATGACACCCTGTTTTCTCATTCGGGTCATCATTAATTATCTTTCGTCTTTAGCCGTTATGTAAAATAGCTTAAAATAAAGCGTCATCTTAACTCACATTTTTCTTCGCCACTCTCGAATACTCCTGCCATGAATAAAAACACCGAGGTAACGCAGCTGTTGTACCTCTTGAACTAATTCTACCTTAAGGTGTATTGCTTTGACCTCCAGATTTGTCTGTTGGTAAACTAAATACCCCTGCCCCTTTGAGGCCTTTCCCAGCTCACCTTATTAATATCTCCCCGAAAGCCATCTTTATTGCTAATACTGCTGCCCAAATGAAGATACTGAAGTCATCAATGAAAATTCGAGTTCCGTGGCAAGGGTGAGAACACCGCCACTAGAAACAGGATTTAACCGTTCAACACCACCTTACTCCAAAGTTAAAGGGACTGTGTCACGGCAGTCCAGTTCATTATGTCTCCTGAGCATTATTCTTGAAGTTGCAAGCAGCAGGGATCAACCTTGAAAAACTGTTAGGCTGAACAGTTTTCAAAAATACTAATTTCAATCCGTTTCAATCTTGTTCAGTTTTGCCCATCCGTGACATCTGTTGTTGCTGTCATGTTATTTTAACCTTCCTTTAAAGTTTTAAGCGGTTATTTTTATGTTTCTCTCAATTTAACGGGCATTTTGTAATTTCCTAATTTGGCTGAATTTCATGACACAGCTTCTTTAACAGCAAATACCTCCGAGAGCGTATCAAGTGAGGAATGTTTTTGGATTAGAAGAGCTCGTAGAAAAGGCCTACGCCACACAAAGTGAATATGTGATCGGCACAGCCTCTTCCTCCGTGGAAACCTTCCTGTTTTTCTCTTAGCCTGCTCTAAATCGTTTTTTTAATTACTGATTCTTCCCAGTAAGACCCTGCAGGCACTTACAGATTATCTTACATTGGACCAAGAATGTGATCCATCACAGTGGGGTGGAAATTCTAGTCATATTAATAGTGTTAGATCGAAGCTGATTCTCTAAAACAACAACATTGACAATCTGAAATGTAAAGCCACAAAGAGGACCAGGGTGTTATGCTGAATTCATTGCATTATTTGCTATTATTCTGGGAAGCGCCAGAATCAAGGCAGTCGACTCGTCAAGGCGAACAAAAGACCCTTGATAAAAGCTATCAATACAAATTTAATGGTTGGAAAAGCTGTCTGTTAAAGGAAGGGAAACGGTAAAGAAAATCCATTATATACTTTGTCATACGTTTCATACATGAGCCTTGGGCTCGGATGATCGGCGCAACCCCATCCCACGTATTGACATGAATAAATTGGTTGATTGATTTCTTGATTTCTTGATAACCTTTTGGGAAAGAAATTTTTAATAGTAAAATGTATTTTTTTTTTTATCGCCCTCGGACTGGGAATAATCAGTTCTATGAGGCGCATCAGGTAAAATAAAGGGAATGTAATGAGTGACATTCAAGAGTAAACCGATGACCACATCTGTTAACAACAGCGAAAAAAGATCGCGGCTTCGAGACAGGAATGTAGCCATGATTGCCAAGTGAAGCCCGACACTCAAAAAAGAATACTTCCGGGTGAACATTCTGTTCCCTGGAGGGCAAATACGTGTGCGGGGGAGAAACAGACGTAAAAAAAAAGAAGCCTAGGTGCGTTCATATTTGTGTTAAGGCTGTTGCATTTTTAGGCCACTACAATGTGAATAGTTATGTCAATTCTCCAAAGACTGTTTCCCCCCTTTCTGCGACCTTAACTTTAGCCCAAAAATAGTTATATCCATTTTAGGAAAATAAGTGCTTTACTTCTCCCTTTACTGTCAACGCACCAGAAATAATGACTTTCAGCGAACACAATGGAAATATTATTTTCAAGAAAAGAAGTATTTGATTTAGTTAAAGCAAGATGTCGGGAGAACAACACGTCCCGCCTGTCCTCTTCGCAATTTTTGCTGCAGCTATGCTTCTTGCTCAAGGAAGTCAAGGTACACCTACCTTAAATTATTTTTTGTTTACTTAATACTCTAAACAACACATTTCATAAAGTACTGATAGTATTTGGCGTTTTCCAACACTGAAATTGTATGTTTCGTTGTGAGGAAGAAAGAAAGATATCGGGTGGGGCGCACATGGAAGAAAATACTTCAAAGGATCTTACGCTCCCTGTTTTAACAGTTCAAAACTAAAGTGAGTTTTCTATCTTTTAAAAACAGTTGTTTTTCTTTTACAGCCGCCAGTTTTAAATCTGGGAAAATCAATAATATCACTGCCATGAGCTCAGGGTTATTTGCTTGCGAGAAAATCACCTTCGAGGAACCATTCTCTGGCGGAAAGCAAGTGAAAGTGTTTCTTTCACCTGGTAACTCAACTAACGGTGCGGCTGTTTGGGTGGAATCAGAAGATCACAGTCAATTTCGCGCTTGCATCTACGAGTACAGCGATGGCTCGAATGCAGCTGCGGAATTAAACTGGATTGCCTTGGAATCTGCCCCCTTCGGAGCACAACTAGGAACCACTTCCTTGGACTCTTGGACGACAGGAACAAAGTGTAAGAAGGTCGATTTTCCTCAGGTTAGTTTAATTTTCAAGTACGTTTACGTAAAAACTGGCCTTGATTAATTATAAAAAGAAAGGATCCTTGGTGGTTAGGCGGGGCTCAGATGGAGGATGTTACGTTGAATTACCGACCCATTTGGTCACTTGAGTTAAAGTTCAGGTATCCATTACTGTAAAATTCCGAAAATAAGCCCCGGGGCTTATATTTTTCAAAGACCCTTTTTGAGGGGCTTATGTATGGAGGGAAACTTGGGTTTCAAAATCGATTGGGCTGGCTTGTAGTGGGAAGGAAATTTACCATTTTTGCTTTGTTTTACTTTGTATTCGAGGGCAAATTCCAAGTACAAGCCCCCCCCCGGGGGGGGGGGGCTTATATTTGGAGGGGCGATTTAACGGAGGGTTTTTTGCGTTACGATTTTGGGGGGCTTTTATTTGGAGGGGCTTATTTTCGGAATTTTACGGTACCTAGGTAAATTTATGACTAAATCTATAAAACTGAATTTATACAGTGAATTTAATCTGACAATCATAGACCCCTGTAAAATCCTTCGAGAGATCGAGAATAAACCGGTTCAGTTCCTCTCATGTTTCACTTCCCGCATGTGATAGTCTTTCACATGGTATGATTTGGCTCAGCCAATTGAATCCAAGCTGTCATTCAGTGTCATCAAGCGCTTAAAGCTGATTGCATGAGTTGGCCTAGCTAGCTTGAGGTGACGTTTAACCCGGTGCCTTTTCGATACCGGGATCCCAGTTAACCGGGCTGGCTTGATTGGTATGTAACCACAAAGTTGAGTTTCGTTGAGTTTAATGTAATGAGCTTTGTGCGCATAACAAAAATACCCCCGCCCCCTCTCTCCTCTTTTAGCTCTTTTTGACTATTTCGTTATGTTAAGATATTGTTACTCTCCAGTTAGAATATTTGCTTAGGCCTTGTGTGCTCCGAAACTATTGAACAAGAACAATTTAAAAATGGTACTGTTCAGTACCGCTCTAAGATCATCGTTTTAGGTTAAGGAAACTTTTAGTACAGTGATGGACCATGTGACTTGAATGTGACGGAAGGTCTTTCCCCTTTCAAACGGAATTTAGGCTCAACAGGAAGTCGGTGTTTAACTGTCGATAAAACAGGGGAAACTAGACTCAATTGCGGGGAAGAACCGACACTTCTCTGTAGGACCAGGATCAAACCACTAACTGGTACAGCTGAGTAGATAAAACAGAACTAAACTTTAGTTCCGACAACAGCAGGTCGAACAGCATTAACTGAGGCGGGACACGGCGAATTAAACGAAATGTAGTCCGTCAACCCTGAAATCCACGATGTAATATAAAAACAGTAAAAAATAGTTTTCCTATATATGATTTCTACAACCACTGAAGGCAAAAGAATACAATAGAAATATAAACAGAAATCGCTTAGAGTTAAATGAAAACTTACAAAATCTATTTTTAACCTGAAATCGTTTCTTTCTGTTTCTATTTTAAAAAGTAAAAGTACTGCAAAACAAAGACCTAGCTAGGTCAGCAAAACAGCGATTATGTTCAATATATTATTGTATTGTAAGTGTTACAATATGTATAAAGTTGTAAGTTAAGCTATCGGCTCGGAAGAGGGGTAGAGTAATTACTATAGTTCTCACCTTGAACATAAACCCGCGATCTATTTCAAAATTTGCAAGACATGTACAGCAAAACCTTTCATATTCAAAATTTATCTGTTGGCTCTACAGTATGTAACTAACAACTTAATGAACAATATTTTCGGAAATAAATATAGCTAAAATGCAATGATTAAAACGACTGTGGTGTACCTGTGTGAAAAGCGTTATTATGAATAGATGTCATCTGGTTGTAAATCAGACTACAGTTAAATAACCATTATTCACGGCAGCCGAAACTAATTATTCTTTTAAAAGTCAACATATATCGAAGTAAAATGTGAACAGTTGAAAAGGGAACAACCAATCAGTTTTGTTTGTTCAGGAAAACTGTTGGCTAATTTCCAAAATTATTAGCGGGCACAAAGAAGCTAAAATCAACCAAACGTCAAAGCGAATATTTGAAGGCTACGTAAATATGAAATTGGAGGCAAAGAAAGAATTATTGGAAAAATCTCACCTCACAGTCAGTTGCGCTGTTGCAATGAATTTCGATAAAGTTGGGATGAAGTCCTCTCATACAGGGAACCCTTTCCACCTTTCCATAACCTGGTGGATGATATCAAGCATTTGATAGACGATACGCCTTTTTTGCATCAGTTGATCACGTGATCAACTGATGGTAAACACGAAAACAGTTCGACGGTTCAACGGTTCAGTTCATTTTCGGCGGCCGTGGCGATCGCTACTTTTGAGATATTTGGATGAAAATACACAGGTTACCTAATTTTAAAATGCTCTTTCAGCTTGTGCTAACAAAATTTTTCAAAACCAAACTGTTTTCGTGTGATCACGTGACCAACTAATGCAAAAGGCCTCTTACCACCTCACAAACGTAAACATTACCCCGATGAGTTGTACCCCAGTAAGATCTTGGGGTATTGTTACACCTCTAGAGAAAATGACCTCCTCTCCTTAGTAAAAGTACCTCAACCCTATTCCCATGATTTCAACACAATTATTCGTATCTAGTTCTTTGCTTTTATAGCAGGAGTTATGGGTTTGGAACATTAAGAACGGAAAACGTAAATTGCCGATAAAATAGTCTAAAAAAATGCACCATTTGTTTCTCGAATTATATTCAGTTGAAGAGCGTTTGTATATATGATATTAGACGAGAGAATTTTTTGCGCGTCTCTGGTTTCTTTTTGCTTTTTGATCGCGCGAGCAGTCATAGAGTGTACGCTAAGACATATTCAGCGAGAGCTATAGGTGGGGCCTTTGTTTAATATAATAATCATCCTTGATTGCTCTTGAGGACATTGAGCAACTAAACCTAATTTCCGTGATATAGTTTTAATTTTGCAATGATCCAGACGATTGGGTACAATGGGAAAATTCTGAATGTCAAACCCAGTGCGGGAGCAGTACAAGGCCATTATTCCATTATTTTCAAAAGTCTGGCGACAGTCCAACAGCGTATTTGTAATTTGGTTATGTCTAAGCTTCCAGTTCCATGCCCATTGTTCAATCTGGCTTTCCCAGTTAGACCCTGTTTACATGGAGTGGGGGACCCCGGTCTAGTGGGGTAAGTTTCTTTTGTTTTGTGTCCCCCAGAGCGTGAAAACAAAAGAAACCAACCCCACTAGACCGGGGTCCCCCACTCCATGTAAACAGGCCCTTAGTGTTATATCATAGACTCAATTTCTATCTCTTTCATCTCTAGCATTTTACGGGACACTGCAGCCTCCTCTGAGTTTTGCGAATTTATGCGATACGCATGTTGCTAGTAGATGTAATAATAAAGAGCCACAACAAAACAAAGAAAATACATGGAATTCTTTCAATTGGTATTCGAGGAAAATAATACAATACCCTAATTATGAAGAAAAATCTTGTCTGATTCAGGTGAAATTGTGAAACGTACTTACTTAGGAATTTAAAAAATATTTCTTTAAGTTTCCCATTCTTCGCCTTTCACTACTCCTTTATATTTATATTTAATTTCAGCGTTTTTTGACCCCTCCAATCGTACTTGCGACTCCGAGTCACCAGTTTCCTGACAGACCTCAAGACGCCATGGCAGTCTGGGTGGAGGATTTGACAGAACACAGTTTCAAACTCTGTCTTAGGGAAGTGAAAATGTTTGATGGACTTCATAGGGGCATCAAAATTGTGAGTAAAATGTTGTATCCACCAGCGGTTTCTGAGGTTTCATGTTGCGCATTTGCCCCTCATTGCACAAAGCAGGAAAATAGAGATACACAAGGAAATAACATTCTGATTAAACCACTTCATAAAGGCGAATGCGATTCGAAGACGGATAATTGATTGTTTAGAAAGGGGGACAACAGAAGGCGTTTCACTTAGCTCGGCTGTTCAGCTAGAGCTCCGAAATATGGCGAAAACTAACGCTTCCTAAAAACAAAGCAAGAACAGCAAAATGCCACATGCGCGAAACATAATGACTACTATTGAAAGAATATCTCAGCTAGAAATATACAATTCCTGAAGTTACCGAGCAACAGGGAAATGTTATTAAAACGCAAATTCAGGTCGATGGAAACAATATTTTGAATTAATAAATCAATTTTTACACTTGTTTGACTCGGTTTTCGAAGGATATATTTAACAATTATTCTACGAGTGCGCGTTGGACTGATATGAGATGGCAGATAGCCAACGAGGCGCGAAGTACTGAGTTGGCTATAATAATCTCATATCCAACAAGCGCGAGTGGAATAACTGTTTTATTAAAAACGCCCACAAAATTTCGAGAACTATTCCCGACTTTAATTGTAAAAGCAAACGATTTTCAGCTCGTTTTTAGTTTTGAGCAGACGCGTACAGTTATAGTTTGGAGAGCATGGTATAATGGCTCATATACCATGATGGCTAAGCCTATCACAACTCTAGAATTGCATTATCCAATGATTCAGTTTTTAATGAAAGAATTATACAGATCAAGGTGAGTCTACTGTTGTCCGCCTAGTCCTCTTTGATCTCCATAATTCCACATAACATCGACGCAGCCTCATCCAATAAATACTAAGTGGTTTTAAAATCGGTTCCTTCGTTGTAGCTATCATAAAGCAGTTAGCGAAATATTGCGCTCTTAGTTTACAGACTTAAAAAAAATGCCAAAACGCAGGTTTTAAGTGTCCGATAACCCCGAACGCCACACTACAGATGGAGAAGGAAAGTCAGAAACACGAGCAAGAAATCAGTGCACTGAGTCTCTTAATGCTATTCCTACTTTGTAACATTTTCAACAATCCATCTAGAAATAAATAAATAAATAAATCATAAAAACAAATCGCTGTATCTTTAAATAAAAATGAGATTAGCCTTATCTAAAATGATTTTTCCATTGTTTTAGAACTGGATGGCTTATACAAACCTCACTGTTGTGAACTTCACATTATCAGCGAGTCTTGTGCTAAGGAACAAAAACTCACCACCCCAAAATAACGAGGCCTTTTGCGAGGTGAAAAAATGTTAATAATTAAAATGGACTATCTTGACAATGTTTTTATATTTTTCATAAACTTTAACATGTGCATCGGTTGGTGATATCAGTTCCTGCTCACCTGGATCGAAGTTGAAGTTTGTTTGGTCATTTGCATCACTTCCCACCAACGATACATTGTGGCTACGTTAAAGAAATCTATGAGTCTGAAAGAAAAAAAATCTGAGGATGGGGTTTCAATTTAGCTTAGCCCTCCATGTCTATTTAATCACTGATTGTTTAAACTAGACGTAACTAGGGAGCAAAAATATCATGTCCGTTAATTCTTTGTCATTGTATGACACATTGTGATCGTTTCATGTCATTTATTTAATTATTTATTCATTTATTTATTCATTTATTGAAGTAGTTATTCATTTATGTCAGCATGCACTTATTCTGGAAATCAAAGTAACTAAAAAGTGACAAATAACAATCCATATCGTTTATGCTACAGAATATCAACTTCACAATGCCGCTCTATGCTCCACCAGTGGTAATAGTGACCGCAAAGCGTGTCAGCAACAACTCGCAATCTTCTGGATGCGACGCAATCGCCGCATGGGTTGAGGTAAAAAAAAAAAAAATTAAACAGGTAAAATTGTATAACAGACTTATGCCATCGTCACCCTGCGAGCAGCGCCTAGTTTTGTCTTCTTGACTGGGGAGGAGAAAAGGAAGCTGATCTGCTTGAATCGCGTCACACATTTGAGGTCGCCTCAGCCAAAATTTAATTGTGGACTAGTCAATCCTGTTCCCCCTTGTAACACTGTTGTTGTTGTTGTTGTTGTTGTTGTTGTTGTTGTTTTGTTTTTTTTTCGAGTGCGAGCATCCGTTTATTGATCAGGGGCACCCAACGACTGTTTTCTGTAAACGATCTGTTCGGAGAAGCCAATGTTGCTTAGAATGTATTTTTCTTTTGCTTGAGGACGGCTGAAAATTTCTAGATGAACATTCCATTCATGTACAATTTTCGAAGCTCATCCATCAAATCCCCTACGATTTTTTGAAGTTTAATTTTTCATATTTTAATACTTCCCAGGTTAAACTATTTTTCTTGGAAAAAAGAAACTTAAAATTTTCGGATTCTAAAACGTGATGGAGAGAGGAATCCGAAAAATTCTTACTTTCGCAAAACGTTAAATTGCACCTAAAATGTTCGCGAAAATGATGCAGAAACCCTTGTAATTTCGAATAGACTTACGTTCCCCTAGGATGACCGAACAGATAAAAATTTTTTAGCGCCGCTTAGAATGCATTTCGACAGATCTAAAAGTCCTCTAAATAGCCTAAAAAGTGTTTTCATCGTTGGGTGCCCTGATTGATAAACGGGTGGTCATGAACGCGGGCTTGCTGTAGTAGGAGCACAATTATTAGGCCTGGGTCCGAAACTCTAGCAACATGCTGCACATGCTCAACAAACATCTTGTCATTTTGTGCAGAGTCTTTCTTGAGGAGTACGCCAAAATCAAGCAAACAAAAGAAAGGCTCTGCTCAGTGGCAGGGTGAGGCAGCGCAAACCTTCAGACGTGATCTGTTTGATGATATTAATAAACAAGAAAAAAAGATGTACGCTTAAGCTATGAGTGAGGAAAGTCAGTACTAGAAATGGAAATCGGCAGATTTTTCACTGCAGTTTTATATCAAAAAGAAGGTTTCGTGAGGACAAGTTCGCCTCACTGCGAGTTTTGCCTGCATATATCTTCTGCCTCTGAAATTTCTGTTCTTAGTACACAAACACCACAGAAACACAGATTTGTGTCAGAAACTACGACCCAAAGAGCAAGGATACCATAAACGTGGATTACTTAGTTTTTGGAGGTAGGTATACGTAAGTTTCAGTAATACCCTTCGCGTAATTTAATTTGGTCTCGCTATTTAGAAGAAAGAGAGCGCAAGTACATCATCACAACAACTGTTTAATAGGCCACTTGCACTAAGAGGTCACGTGACCAATGCTTCCTTTAAACAATGAGTTGGAATCTTGCTGATGCTAAAAATTGACAGAGCACATAAAAATTATCTTACCCCCGAAATTTGAGGGGAAACGCATTTAAGGGAGATATTTTATGGCACTTTGATTTTTCAACAAAGTAGTATGATTTGTATTTGCCGCCATGTTGGAGGGCATACTCTTGCCCTCCAACATGGCGGCCAAAACTACTTTTGCTTAGATCTTGTTAAACGTTTGATAGTTACGCTCAGATGTGTTGTAAACGTTCCCACATCAACTTTTCAACATTCCCCTTGAAGTTTAAGAGCAAAATTTGTGTTCGGAAAGAGTTAATTCATAATTTCAAAAATCACATTTTGGTCACGTGACCAACTACGAACTTACTCATTTTAAGAAAATGGTGCAGGTTTGAAAAACCAAATCACTATTATTTTGTTCAAGACATGACCCACTAATCGTTTTCTGAAGAAAAAAATCATATAACTTTCACTTTCATAAAAACGATGTCACATGACCTCTTAGTGCAAATGGCCTATTGGTATTGTTGACGTGTCACTTATGACGTTAATGACCCCATAATTATAAGTTGATTCAGTGTATTTTTACCAACCTGCGTGGCAGGCAGGTTATGTTTTTTACTCTCCTTGGCTACTTTTTAGTTTTCTAACATCCAATTTCATTAATTTGATACTTTAAATCAAACTCAATGACGAGACACGTTCTGAGTGTAAAGAACTGTGAGACATCAGGCAGTCTCGAATTAACACTAATGAGGACCTCTAGATCTAGCCTCTTCGTTAGTGGGTTATTTTAAGAAGAAAAATGCTTTTCTAGTCTAGTACGCTATGTGCGTTCATAAAAAGTGTTCACAATAAATGGTCTTTACATTAAAAATAAAAAACGAAATTGAAATGGCCTAGCCGACGCGGTTTTGTTGAATACTGGCTAAACGCCGTTTAAATAATTGGCCCATAGATGTTAGCAAGAGCTATAATGATGTTAGCCTTTGCCGATTTAAGGTAACGGAAGTATATCTAGCCAATGTTTTGAAAACCAGCCTGACGAAATTTGCAGTCATTTAAGTGAAAAGGCAACAAAAGACAGATTTTTGGGGCTCAAAAAGATTTTACTCGAGGGAAAAGGAAGAGGAGAAAAAGAAAGAGCGAAGAAACGAAAAAAGGAGCAAAAGAGAAAAAAGTAATGGTAGTGCACACTCTTAGTTTTTATAATGGCTACTTTGGAGATAGTTCAAGTTTTGGCCGAAAAAAGCTGTTGGATAGAAAATGTCCTTTGGCGCTAACGTTTTCAAAAATCCGGTTAGATATATATGGGTAGTACAAAAGCGGCAAAAATTCAAGGAGTGGCTGGCCCTCGACAGCTTCTCTCCACCTAATTCGCTTGAACTAGTCAAATAATAAGTTAGGGGTAAATCAGTTACGGAAACCTTAATGTGTGCCACTGGACAGCAAATATTTCCGAGGCCGATGTTCTGATGATCAGTGTCGTAGTATATAAGTGATATCCGGTGTCTGTGTCAAATGGGATCATTTGTAGCCGTAATTATCGATTTTTTAGCTGAACCTTCTCCTTCTTCAGTTCGCAATTGTCAAATGCAAATGATACTGACAATACGTCTTTAATTGCTGAAAACAGATCCGGATCCTTGTATAGACGTATACTGTAATTATCACGGTCTGTGCAAAGCTTTTGGACCATACGATGCCCGCTGCGTGTGTATAGACAGTTGCCCATCCTTCCAAGTACCCTTATGTTCTTCCAATGGAACGACGTTTGACAACGACTGTTTCTATAAGCAGGAAATGTGTATGTTACAACTGAACCACACTGTGCAACATCCAGGGAGCTGTGAAGGTATCATTTGAAGTGGATGTTTGTGAAGTATCCATTGTTTCTTGCCTTTGTGCCCTTTCCGCTCCAGCTAGGAAGAAAGTCGCGTATACTGAGCTTAAGTTTAAAAAAGTTCCCTAAGTTAAAATTGTAACATTTTGGTTTTTAGAAGTCTAGCTGTGTACGACGTTTCTGACAATAACGTATGCGAGAAAGTTAACTAGACAAATAATACCATATTCACAAAAAGATCACAAGGCCCAGAATTATGGCTGGAAGAATTTGAGCTTTTCAATATCTATGGTCCTTAGTGCGGCATTCAAAATTCGAGGACGGCGCTCTTTCGAGTAACTAAGGAGGACATGTTTAATTAATGAGCCAGGTTAGCCCCATATACCTGCCTCGTCCCCAGTCGCACGCGATCACTTCTGGGGGATATTTGAGTTAATTATTAAGGAAAGCGGGAACGAAGGAAGTGCGCTCTACGCTCGTTCCCATCATTTACCTCTCGCGCTTCTTGCTAGTCTCCAGCTCTCGTGTGTTCCCAATCCCCAGTTAGCCTTGGGAAAGCCTGCGGAGGAGGCAGCCTTTATACGGCCGTACTTACTTATTATAAGCCTAAACTTTGCCCTTTAAATTGTCTTTATGTGATTGTGGGTAACAAATAGCTAACAAATCGACCGAAAGAGAGAGTGTGTTGGCACCCTTCAAAGTTCTTACCACAATTTGCCAACATTCCGTGAACTAGTATAAGTATACTGAAAAAGAAAGGCAAATCATAGAATCGATTTTCTTGTATAACAAACAGAAAAGAAAAAAAAAAAACGATAAACCTGACCTTTATGACATACCCTTCGACTGTCTCAGATTTGGGTCAGCTAATTGGTTTTACGGAGCAGCAATACGTTAATTAAGACATTACACCCCTATTTTCCCGAACGATCGTCGAGATCGAAGACTTGGCGTTAATAGGGGTCATCTTGGATGAGTGTCAAATCTACTCAAAGGCTATTAGCACCGACTCCCGCCCCCTGGGTACATATGAAACCACTGATGGCCGCCCGTACTGGTAAGCGCTCGATCCTGACGATCTTACGAAAAAAATAGGGGATTGTGAACAGACTGTTATGATATGCTTATATCTATATTTATAAAAAAAGATGTTGAGCGTCGAATTAAAACAAGGATATCGCGCTCTCATGGTTCCATTTCAAATTTCATTGTATATTTTCTCGCACACAGTGGCTGTTGACCACCTTGCACGCGAAAAATCTCTCAGTTATTGTCAAAGTTACATTAAATTGGTTTTTTTCCTGTTTAACTTTCCAGGATTCCCATATCAGCGCTCGCGACTTCACATGCCTCACATACCATCCTTGGGGTATTCGCATTGTGAAGTAATTCATCTACGACCATTCGTGTTCTATCCCGACAAACCCGTCCAAGTGCAGGTAACTGTTAATCACGTTGATACCAGGGACATGAACTATGTCCACGATGCTGCTGTGTCGTGGATTGAAGATGTGAGTATCGAACAATTTACTGCTTGCGTGATGGCGGCGGGTTTTAACGAGCGCAAGTCACGTGCTAATGTATCCATAGACTGGATAGCTTATCAGGGAGCCCCAGCTGGTGGGGTCTCTGGAGAGGTGCGCATGTCACAGTGGTGGACTGGGACAACATGCAAGACGGTGAATTTTCCTTCGGTAAGTAATTTCTACACCTCAATGATTTACTTTGTCTATTAAACACTATACACAGTTGAGAAAGTATTACCTGTTTTCAAGCCGGGCGAGGGGGTTAGTGGGATACCAATAATTTTTTTTTCATAAGATACATGTATCAGTATATACCTTAAAATTCTAAAATCTTTGATTCCAGATATCTAAAATTGCCTTGAATCCTTGAAATAGAACACGGCCGTATAACTAAAAATTATCCAGGGCCCAATTGTTCGAAGGCCGATTAGCACTAACCCAGGGTTAAATTTTAACCCAGGTGTCTTTTTCTCTTTATCAATAGCACTTTCTCGGATAATTTTCTCGGAGAATTAAACTGAACTTGCTTTTTAAGCTCTCATGTCTGAATTAAAATTTCGCACTAGGCCTGGGTTATCTTGACCCAGCTTTGAACAACTCGGCCCAGGTCACTGAAAGAGAACACAGCCATATAAAGAGTATAACTTTTATCGCACTGCACTCGGTCATGAGCTATTTGCTTTCCCAGCCCCTTAAGGTGGCTCGATACAGTTTTTCAGGGTCAATACCTCCCAAGTTTGAGCATAAACTACGTCACCAAAAGCAAAGTTTTGGAAAAATTGCCACCACAGTTGTTTTAGATAAAGATGAAAATTTGTTTTGATCAGGGTTGCAACGGCATCGGAGTTGTCATAGCAACGAAATGACGCTATTACCTATTTTACTTGCAGCAGTATATCTCGGCACTGGGAACTTTTCTTCGAAAATCATTCACGGGACCTTTTTTTCCCAATAGCAGCCTCGACGTTAGTGAAGTTTAAGCGAAATCTGTAAGAGCGTTATCGAAATATTTTGGGATAAAGATTTTGTGATTAGAAAAACGGTAAAAAATGGACAATCTTGGTGTTCGGCTGTTATCTGTAGAAAACGAAGCGCTTTTGACATGCAATTTCACCTCATAGTAGTTTCAATCTTTTTAAAAACGTGTGTGAAAGATCAAGGAGATAGCGCCAGCCGATTGCTAGAAAGAAGGATTTGGTTAGTATGTATCGAGGCGCTCTTGTTAGCGGTTTTTTGAACATTTTGGTCTACTTTAACAAATTAGCGAATAATTTTTAAACCGCTCGATAGATTTTTTTAAAAAATTAATATTCTTGAGATTAACCTTCCTTTTATATGACCTTTCAGTTTCATGATTATTGATATATTGTAAGGCAGTGAAATAAGGGCTACAATTAGCTAATATTTTGGCAGAAAGCTTGTGTTTACAAGTATGAGCCTCTCATTATTCAGGGTATTGTGTCCAAGTTTCATATTTTCGTGCGCAACAATAGCTAGCATTTTTGCATATTTCAAATGCATTGTTAGTTACTGCTGTTCACGTGAAAATGAAACTTGGCACAATGCCTTGAATAATTAGAGGCTTTCACTTGTAATGACGAAACTTCCGACAAAAAAGTAACGAATTGTAGCCCTTATTTTACCGCCTTACAATATATCAATAATCTTGAAACTAAAAGGTCATATAAAAGGAAGGTTAATCTCAAGAATCTTAAATTTTTAAAACAATCTATCGAGCGGTTTAAAAATTATTCGCTGATTTGTTAAAGTAGACCAAAATGTTTACAAAACCGCTAACAAGAGCGCTTCGATACTTACTAATCAAACCCTTCTTTCTAGCAATCGGCTGGAGCTATCTCCCATGATCTTTCACACACGCTTTTAAATAGATTGAAACTACTTTGAGGTGAAATTTCTTGTTGAAAGCGCTTCATTTTCAACAGATAACGGCCAAACAACAATATTGTCCGTTTTTTACTGTGTTTCTAACAATAAAAACTTTATCCCAAAATATCTCGATAACGCTCTTACAGATTTCGCTTAAACTTCACGAACATCTAGGCTGCTTTAGGAGGAAAAAGCTCCTGTGAATGATTTTCGAAGAACAGTTCCCAGTGCCGAGATATACTGCTGCAAGTAAAATAGGTAATAGCGTCATTTCGTTGCTATGACAACTCCGATGACGTTGCAACCCTGATCAAAACAAATTTTCATCTTCATCTAAAACAACTGTGGTGGCAATTTTTCCAAAACTTTGCTTTTGGTGACGTAGTTTATGCTCAAACTTAGGAGGTATTGACCCTGAAAAACTGTATCGAGCCACCTTAAGCTTGCAACTTCTAATGAACATATTTCGATCACTGTGTCAACATAAATCCTAATAATAAACATTCAGGAAAACGAGATACTCTATACCCGCATTTTGACACCAAAATACCGTATACCTAGACACCCAAAAAGCCAAGCCACCTGCAAAATAAATTGATAAGATGCCTTTTCAAACTCGAGCCTCGCCCCATTTAAGGAATTAAATCCACGACAGTCTTGGGTTCTGGACTCCATGCTGTGGATTCCAGATTCAAGGTACTGGATTTCGGATTCTTTGTCAGTCTCCGGATTCCAGAGCCTAGTATTCCTGCTTGTAATAATACTTTGATTTTAAAATTGACCGCATGTTGCTTTTTTTTCAGTCTAACGTTTTCTCCCATGGTCGTTATAAGGTTCCAGAGCAACCTTCAGTTTTCATAACTGCTGCACATCATCGTGCTGGACTGAAGAGAGACGCCGCCAGTGTTTGGTTGGAAGACATTTCGCTATCGTCATTCAAGATATGTTTGAGAGAGCTACAAAATTACGCAGGCTCACATGAAGATATTTCCGTTGTATGTTTTTCCTCTTTGTTCTCTTTCTTTTCTACGTCGTATTCGACAAATTCGTTTTTCCTGTTTAGGCGATAGAAAGATACGACCGCATATTACACTAGCAGTTAATGAATGTTTCTCTTTTTTACCTTTTTTATCCGTTCGTTTCTTTGTTATAGAACTGGCTGGCTTTTTCATCAATTGAGACGCCGTTTTTCTCGGAGCACAGCTCAATATATTTTGCCAACTCTCAGCCTCCTCAAGCCTGGAACAATAACGCATTCTGTAGGGTCAGCATATAATCTCTTGTTTGAAATTAATACGTTGTACTTGTATTGTTTTCGTTAACTCCTCTTTGCATCGAAGTTTGAAATCTGTTGTTCTGGTTCATTAGGATATCTCCTTTGTTAAAGTGTACAAGAATGCTCCAAGTGTTTTTGTATCAGCGAATCACACTTCAAGTGGGGGAGGCGTGGATCCAATGCACAACTCCATAACAGCTTGGGTTGAGGTGAGTGTGGTATTGTAGACAAACGTAAATATATAGGCAAACATTACTTCCGTTAACATCACGAAGATATGGTAATATATTTTGTACCCTTTACACTAGCATTTGTAATATGTTTGATAATAACCTTAAGTTTACTTTCCTTCAGTACATCAACACAACAGGGGCTCGAGTGTGTTTAAAGGAATTGTACGACTCAAAATATGATCCTCTTTCCGTATCATATACTGTCATGACAGGTAAGGGCGCGTTTTAATTCTACAGGTTTTACTTACTAAAAACTAAATCGAGGTTTAAAAGGAAAACTAGAATACACTGTAGGAAGAGCCTTTTCAAGCCATTTTAACAGGAGGTTAAATCCGCATGTTGGTGTCCCACAGCAGCCCGCTGGGAGTTAAATTCTTGTCTTATATAAACGCTTTCTCTTTAAAATTAAAAAAAAATAGCTTGTTAAAGCACGTGATTTGAAACACTCTATTAAACTATTCCAGCCTCTTGCTTTATTAAGTATTACGAATTGTCATACGCTTAAAATGTTGTAGGACAGTGTCAACTTTGTAGTTAAAGGCAAAGAGAGAACAGAGTAGTAATAGGGTCTTTTTAAAATGCATTTTTTTCTGAGTTGAAATATGCCACAAATGTCACATATTTTCGTGCTTTTTTGAAGTCGTCATAGTTCATGAATCTCCGAGAACGTTGACATGTATGTGGTGTTTGCTTGTTTCGAATGAAAGGAGTTAGATAACAGCAGCGACTTTTTTCATGACGTAAACAGGTTACGATAAAAAATGATTCAGCCCAAGTCTCGGTCAATGATCACTGAACCCATTCCCGGCTCCGTCACTCAACTGACTGATTAGTAATAAGGGACTGGCTATCAACAAAGCACGTCCGTATTCTAATTTCATCTGTTTTTAGCTAATATAAGGCACGTCCTTTTCTAGCTTGCTCTTGACACGCAAGTACGTCATTTTCATAAACTCAACCGATATAAGTACTGTTTTTTATTTTTTATATAAACGTGTTTATGCCGACTGGAGGTATAAAGCACAAGTGGGATCTATGGTACTCTTTTGCCAAAAGAAGGCCGGCCTTTTCACGAGGAAACTAGCTGCCTTCGTCCAAAGCAACTATACAGAATTGCAATCTTAATTCTTGCTATCCCACTCTCATTTTATATTTTGTATCACATGCAGATATTTGCCAGACAGAATGGAATTATTTTGATGGCTACTGTTACTTAACAAGTCGGGCATGCGCCACGTGGCTCACGGCTCAATCAAACTGCTCTACAATGAGTTCCAATTTAGTAACGGTTTACAGCCAAGAGGAGAATGTTTACATTCAACACCGTCACAACGGAGAAAGATCCTGGATCGGACTCAATGACCGAAGTGTGGAGGGTTCCTTTGCGTGGGCAAGCAAAGATAAAAGTAATTTTGAACTCTGGGCACCGAATCAACCGAACGACTGGAAGAACGAAGACTGTGTTCACACTCTTGGTGCTCTTCATCGTTACGAATGGAATGATGTATCGTGTGATAAATGCTTCAACTACACTTGTTTTAAAGGTAGTTTTATAATATACTGTGATATCAAGTTTTAATTTTATCTTAGTTAGAGGCTAACCGCAAATAGTAGGGCTATTCTAGGTGGGCAGAACAAAACTCACTAGGTTATTTTATTCTTTTGAATTCATGAGTGCCTCATCGTAATCGTCCTCAGTTTGCATGAGATAACATAAAGTTAACAAACATTTTTCAAAAGGCTTTTCTGGATATTGGCGTATTTCATAACTTGCCTCCAATGATGGATGATGGAACCCTTCCCCAGAAAAACTATTTTGCCTTTGATATCATCAAAAAGATGAGGTATATTTTATGTGTGGTGGCGCTGCTGGAGGCCTGTGACGTCACCAACAAAGATTGCCATCTTGGCCACCATCTTGGATTTTACCAAGAATTAGAAATCAAGTTAAAATGGTAATTTTTTGAGCTTGACGTGTAAAATAACACACAAATAGGCACTTTGTATCATTTCAGCCACGAGTTCTACATTTATTGTTGTAAAAAGTTGAAAAAGCATGCATTTTCACTCAAAAATGGCTTGACCACCTGCTACTTATGACGTCATATCTCTTTACTATAGTAACTGACCTTCACTAAACTTGTCTCAAAATGCTCGCGAGGGATAAAAAAATGCACCTCATGTGAGTGTCAATGTATTTAGCACGAAAGCACTAATTGGGGACACTATTCTTACGTTTCCTACTGGAGACGGGACCGCCATTTTACGTGGTCATCCGAGCCACTCGAAGGTCTAGCCGTTTACAGGGCAAGGGCAGTACCTTCATTTCTCAGTCATTTTTGGTCCGGTCTTGGGAATCGAACCTGCGACCTCCCGCTCTGCAGTGAAGCGCTCTACCGAATGAGCTAATCCTGCCGCGGTAAAGAGTGTAGCTAAATGTCGTGGGTCGTGGGTAGTGGGTAAAGGTCGTGGGTCGTGTGGGTGTGGGTGATTAAATGTCCCGGGTAAAAAAGTTATAGAAAAAAATGATAAAAAAATATTAATAATAACTAGAAAAAATAGTAGAATATTTATGAAACGAAAATCTTCAACTCCTTGATTGCCGTTCTCGTCACGGCTTCTTCGTCCTCGCCCCGATATTTCGTTAGCCACGTGGGACTTGGCTCCCCTTTCACACCGTTACTATAAAAGACATTACATCTTGCCGATGAAGATTTATACATACCTAAGATATCACCACAAACTAAACGAAACAAACGTAAGTTATACGAACAATTTGCAGAAAGTGTAGGATCGACACGGCTCTGACTCGCTGAATGGAAGTGGCTGCTCACTATTAATCTTTATTCGATCTACAATTCCAATGATCACTGCAGACTGATTTCTTAACACGATGGAATGCGATCACCATGGGAAAGGGGAGGGAAAAGAACCAATTTTAAGGTATTTCATATTTTTGGATGGAAGTCTTTCTTAAAGAAGTTTTAGGTCTTTTACCTTATGAGGGAACCACCTTCATTCCCAACCTGTCAAGTTAAGGCGAGACTGTATGTAAATTTTGTTGCCTTACGTAAATATAATTTTCTCGATTCTTTTTTTGTTTTGCGTAAAAAATCTTTGCTGTAACGATTCTAAATATCACTCCTTTAACTGAAAGGACGTTTCAGTCACGAATGTTGACTTTCTTGAGAAAAAGCCGTTCAGTGTCCAGTTTTCTAAAGCCTGCTATAGGCTTACATAGTGAACAGAGTTTCTTTTATTTTTGTGTCCGTTTGTACTAAATGATTCGCTTATTTGCTTTGCTGACCGCGGGGAAAGGGAATAGGACTGGCATGTCCTCTGAGATTTTCGTTTCATGAATTTTACAACTTTTTGCCTTTTAATTTTTTAATTTTTTCTTTTTTGGAAAACTTTTTTTTTTTACCCACGACATTTACCCACACCCACGACCCACGAAATTTAGCTACACTCCATAAAAACGCCTGCGTGGGAGACTATTCTATTTGCGGAGCCTGAGAAAACATGGGCTCGATCTGATTTGAGGGGGCCCGGGGATACAATTTTTCCACTCTTTTTCGTCTGTTCAGCTGATTTAGATATACACTGCAACGGGTCGTTCTGTCCCACGTCAAATTTCATAGTTTTATTTTTATGCACATGACTTAAAACGGTGTGGTTTGTGTAAATGGTAGGCACTCTCTAGGAGGCCAAAACGCGCGTGATTAATAAATTCATTCTTTCTCAGTGCAAGTCTGAACGAATTTTGACAACATACGTGCTGCGCACGTGTACTAGTTAAGGTCTGCAGAGTAGGAAGTAAGTGGTCTCCTCTGCTCGCCCGCAATAATGCAACGCCCGTTCTTAATTATTTGTAATCACCTCAGTTACATAAAGCGGAAACAAATTCCAAAATTCAAAGTGACGCTACCTTTGTAAAGATATGTGTTTATAACACGGAGTACTTTGCTTTTTTCAGACTTGGACGAATGTGCTACTAATGCCTATACTTGTGGTGTCAATGCTGAATGCCGGAATACCGTGGGTTCATACATATGTGTATGCAAAGTCGGATACACTGGAGATGCTTACACGAACTGCACAGGTATTAGGCAATTAAATGAATAGAAAACAAACAAGCAAACAGAGGAAGATAAAAAATCGAAGGAAATATTTACAAGGCAACTACTAACCAAGATTATTTTCGTATACAACGGAATGTAATAAAAAAAAAAAAAAACCTTAAAAATGACTTCTTTAATTACTACGTCAATAAATAACTCGAACAAGTGGCGTAAACAGTAGATGTGCCACAATTAGATCTTTACAGTATTTTCAAGGATGTCATAGATTCTCAAAAACTGTGTAAGCTATAGAGTCATCGGTTGAAAAGGGATCGTCAAAAGTTTAAATGACTACCTCCATCTGAGAAGAAATTAAGAGCTTCATTTGCTTCTGTCAAAATTAACTCACAAATAAAAAAAAAGTTTTTTTTTTTTGTCGCCTCTTGAAAGTGCTGACAATGGCGGCTCCGATCGTCGTGAGACTTGTTAAAATGTTGTGTTCTTTACCTTGCTTATTCTTGGTAGCACGAACAGCTTTTCGAAAATACTTACTTTGATTTTTTTCCTTCATAAGTTAACTTCGATTTCTAGGCGAATTTCTTCTTGTGAGGAAAGATCGAGTTTACCAAACGGCCTCGTTCTCCTTTTAATAATAGCTCCGTGGTTGTAAAAATTACTTCGAGCGTAAAAGTCGCAGCTACAGCTAATCACTTTGCAATAAATCACGCTGTTTAAAACACTTGAAGTCTTTTCTATACCGTCTTCAAAAACATCGACGCTTGGATTTTCTCAGTGTGTTTAAAAAGTTCTTACTCTAAAACTTTGCGTCTAAGAGGGGGGTCAGTTATTTCAACGAAATCTAAATTGGGCTTCCTTAGTGGGTAATTTTAAGAAAGTAAGTGCTTTTCGTTCTCCAGTGTATACCTTGCGCTTTCACGAAACTTACACGATAAATAGTGTTGATTTAAAAGCGTTGGGGAAACTGAAAATGGCTCATAGAACGCGGTTTTGTTAAACATTGCCGGGCTAAACTCCGCTTAAATAACTGGCCCTAAGGGCTGGTTAGCGTGTCGGACTCGCAATCCCGTTGTCCCGGGTTCGAGTCCCGCTCTGGCCACTTGCTGGATTTGTGCTCGGTCGTCCCAAGTTCAAATTCTCGGCCACGCTTGTTAATAGCCTACTGGTTGCCTCCTGCCAGTTGGGGTTTTAAATCCTGTTATGTTGTATTTGAATTATTTGTTTTCTAAGTAATTACTGATTGTAAAGCGTTTTACCTTGGGTACCAGAGGTTTTTCTCGCGTGCGGCGGGAGTTTTCGGTGTTGGCCGAAGGCCAGACACTTCTTTGGCCGTAGGTCGAAGCCGCGAGAAAAAACCGTTTTTCTCGCGGGTGACTAAAAAGACTTTGCAGAAACCGGAAACCGCGCTAGAAAAGTCCCTGGCACCCACGGCAAAAGCGCTTTGGATCACTGAGAGAAAGGCGCTATATATAGAGGATATTACACGGTGCCGCGAAGATATGAATTTTATTTTCGAGTGGCAAAACAATATTTTACGAACGAGCGCAGCGAGTGAGTAAAATATTGTTTTTGCCACTCGAAAATAAAATTCATATCTTCAAGCCGCCGTGTAAGTTTCTTTTTATTATACAGACAAAATGACATCGATAAAATAATAGAGGAAAATTACCAAAATTACGTCATCGCTAAACTCACGGGTGAGATTATGGAAAATAAACCACTCGGGTCCCGGATGTAGTTTTTATGAATTTTACGAGTGGTATATTTTCCAGTAAAACACTCGTGTCTATATAATAAAAGTATATATTATTATTATGGTAGTATTATTATTATTATTATTATTATTTATTTTTTTTTTTTTAAATAATAATACAAAACTTTATTCATAGATTTAAAAAAAATAGACTATTTACAGATTCAAGAATATGAAATATTAAAATATATACCCTATGTACATTCTTCTTGTGTACAAAAGAGAATTGTCGTAAAATGACTATCCAAAGACTACTAACAACAATTATAATAATAATAATAATAATAATAATAATAATAATTGTTATTATTATTATTATTATTATTATTATTATTATTATTATTATTATTATTATTATTTAAACGGAGTCAGTTTAGTATGGTGTTAAACAAAACCGCGTTCTAAGCCATTTTTAGTTTTGCCAAATTTTCATATCAAAAGAACGTTTATCAAACCAATCAGATTGGGATTGGTTTGAAATCACCAAGATCAATGAGTGTATATATAATAAAATTTATTATTCACGTCTGTTGGCCTTTAGAGGCCACTCAGGCTAGGCGTTCGTGCCCGGGATGGCACAAATTCTTATTCCCATGACTGAGCTCCAATGCCTCCTGTTAAATTTATAAATTAGGTAAACTAAGTTGTGACTATAAATGGCAGTATTTGTCTTTTCGTAGATATCGACGAGTGCACCAGGAAAACTCACAACTGTCATCCTTCACTTGCTGAATGTTTTAATACAGTTGGGTCCTTTAGCTGTTTTTGCATCAATCAATTTACGGGCGATGGAAGAATTTGCGGTCGTCTAGTAGACGGTAAGTACACTGGCAAACATCTGAAACATCAATCAGGAGTAGAGGATGTTTAAACGGGTCTTTCTTCGGTGCCTTGCTTCAGTCTGCAACATATCCCAGTATGACCAGCTTACTCTACTCCACGTAACTAACACTAATTCGTCGTTGGAAAATGGCAGGAAAGCCCAAAGAAACCATGACGCTTGTACAACGTGGGCTTCCCCTATAAACTACAAAAGATAAACTTGCTGGTATTAATTTAACAGAACGGCGAAGGAAGATCAACAATAATACGATGGAATATGGTATCAAAACAAAGTGATAAAGAAAAAACAAAATAAATTAAATAAATAAATAAATAAAAATAAAGACAAAACACAAAGCCCACAAAGTGGGGTGGAGGGAAAGGAGCAAGTTAAGTAAGAAGGTGATTCTTCAGTTTTTTCTTAAATTTGATACACTAACCGAGCTTAGAATGTCTGTACTAAGTGAATTAAAAAAAACAAGGGACCTTGATATCGCAATGAAAAGCGTCTTATGTTAGTTCTGAACTTAGGAACATGAAAGGAATTGGCATTCCTGGTATCATAACTATGAACCTGATTCCTTCATATAAAAGTGTTTTTAAATATATCTGGTAACAACCCAGTTTTATATTGAAACATTATTTTACCTATTTCTGCTAGATACATATCATTTACCGGTAAGATACAAACAAGATTCTTAAACATTGGGTCTGTATGAGCATCATAACAAGATTTGCTGATGATTCTCATAGCTCGTTCTTGCAGCAGTACGAGGCCTTTCAAATTAGTAGGATAGGTCGATCTCCAAACACTTACGCAATATTGCAAATAGGGATGGACAAGGGAGAAAATAGAGTGTACGCAAAGCAGATTTGTAAAGGCAAAAGCTTGACTTGGCGATAACAACTAAAGACCTGGAAATTTTAGAAGCTAAGTAAGCATTGTTTTTATGACAGATGCTCATCCAAAATCACTCCTAGAAAAATAGTGTAACTTTCCAAAACGGAGCTAAGTATGATCACAAAGCTTTACTATTAAACAATCAAGCGTTATTATTATATTTTTAGTTTTCTTGATATTAATTGACAGCCCATTAGCTAGGAACCAAGGGGTTAATTTAATCAATTCAAATAAAATAACTTTCAGTTCTTTTGACACATCACATCTTCATTATCATCATCATCACCATAATCATTATAATTACTATGATTATTAATTAACTTTGAGGGAATCATTTTTTGTCAGAATGCCTACCTGAACCCGGCCCGCCTTACAAACTATCCGACGACAAGCGTAAAGGATACAGGAGTCTTACCAACGCTGACAGGACGGTGGATTTCGGCATAAGAACTAGGAAGACTGACAAGGGAGAAGGACCGGGATGGTACCGTTTTGAGGGGGGCGCAGGCACAAAAATGAAAGACTCATGTCCGAGATATAGTTATAAATATGGAAATAAATATAATCAACGACGTGTCAATACGTGCAACACTAATGCACCTGGCTGGATGAGAGGTGGTGAACCCAAAGTCAGTGACCTTCCAGTCACCAGGACGGCGTGTTTCTCCTGGAGTAATAACTGCTGTTACTGGTCAACAAGCATCAAGGTGCGAAATTGTGGTTCATATTTAGTGTACTATCTCAACAGCACATCCGATGATGGTACTCACTACCTTCGCTACTGTGGTAATGGCTGACTAAGCAGCAAACAAAAACTTAACGCTTCCTTTCATTTGTTTCAAATCATAGTTATAATAATAATAACAATAACATTAACATTGATAATAGTGGTTTATTTGAAGCATAAATTTACTAGTTCTACATCGTGAAATATAAAATTTAGACCTAGAGCATACCAAACAATTAGGTAGTCACGCAATCAATTAATACAGTTACTTACAACTCAATCGGAAGAAAAATATCAGCAACAAACAATCATAATGCAACAAAATAAAAAAGTCAGACCTAAGTAGAAAACGGATTGTCAGTTGCTTCTGGGTGACTTAATTCTACGTTCCGATGCATCCAACATCATTATCAAGAGTGGAAAAACGTTGTATGGCAAACTTATAAAAAGTTTAAGTACTTGAATTTCACTGAATAGCTCTCTCCCCTGCACAGAGGCCTGTTTGAGATCCAGAGAGGCTGGGTTGCGGGGAAGGGGGTGATGAAGAAAACGCGCGGCGGACAATGGGAAGGGAGACGAGAAGAAGACAGGCTTCCGCCTTTTTCCCTCTCCATAGTCCCCAGTCCGCTTAATTTTTTTTCCTCTTTCGCAATATCCGTGACCAGATGGCATGAGTTGGTTTTCCCATACAAATCCTTCTAATTTTCGGCGGTCGTTGCAATCGCTATTTCTGAGATATACGGCTGAAAATTTACCTAATTCTAATATGCTTCTTCAGTTCTGCCAGTAAAATTATTCAAGCTAGAACTGTTTTCGTGGTCAAAGAAAGTTGATCACGTGACCAACTATTGCAAAAGGCCTATTAGTCTGCAAGGTTACTCTCGCACGTGATAGTTAGTTTCTGGACCTTATGCTATTTCATTTGCTTCCCAATCGAAGATTTTGAGCTGGAGGAGTCTCGATTTGTAAAACCGACAAAATCCATATCCCATAGACTACATTCAGAAATGAAATACCACACACTCAAATGATCTTCGGTCAACGTTTTGGCTCCATAGGACCTATAGTCCAGAGGATGTTGCAGACTTTCTTACTACTGAAAAAAGGTTGCAGAGAGACGCCAATTTTTGTTTCCTTGTATTCTCCGCATTATTTTGGTCAACGAAAGGAAGGGAAAACATGACCTTACGAAGAGTGTTGCTCTTGTCTGTTGTGTAACTTCGCACTTCACAGCCCGCTACGTCGTCTGGCGTCAATCAACTGGGAAGGATAACGAAAGCCTGACATTCGTCAGTGACAAATTTTATTCTTGGTTATAATGTTGGATACATCAAAAGGTCGAATGACGTAACCACAAATTTTTCTCAGTTTTTAATCATGACTTATGTCATCATGACTCAAGAATCTTTACTAAAAACAACGTTACCGTAGACCTTGCCTGTAAATTATTTGATACGATGATTTCTCCCGATTCTGACAGATAACAGTGAAATTTGGGGTGTGTATGCCAAACCAGACTTTACTCCTGATTTGTTAGATACCGCTATAGAAAAATGTTCCGTAGGTTTAATGGAGCAGGAATTGATCATACCACTTCTATTTACCTACTAGACTTAGGAGAGGAACAACTGCGAGACGAGCATTAGAAAAATTACGAATAAAAAATCAGAAACTAATGATAGAATTAGGCAGATACAATTAAACTATATATAAATATATATAGATAAAAGGCATTGCCCTCTTTGTGGATCAAATCTAATAGAAGGCGAAGTTCACTTTCTTTTTCGTTTTTCAACATACTCTGTGATGGGCGGTGAACAACTTTTAGAATAGGGTCAATACTCTGATTCCAAATATTACCCAGTTACCAGTAAAAGTTTTGATCAATGAACTGATAAACTCATCTTATTACTTTATCAATATACAATTTCTGAAATTTATTTCAGCTTGCTTTGATCTTCGTGACAAGTTATAACCTATTGAAAGTAACTAGATGTGTTTCAATATAGTTTTTCAGAGGCCATACCGATATTTTTCAATCGCTTTAAAAGTGATTTTATCCTTGTCTGATGGCTATAAAATTTTCACCAATGATTGACTATAGATTGAAATTTGCCAAACTGTAGGCTTTAGTAAAATCGATATTACTATGGCAACAATAAACAAAAAACTTTGAAATTGATAAACGTCTAATTTTGCGCGCGATCTAGCCTTACCAGCTACTGAAAATCCAGCACTAAGGAACTTAAAGTTTGGTGTTTCGCAAATAACCTTCATAAGAAGTAAAAAATTTCGGTATGGCTTCTAAAAAACTGAATCGAAACACCTTAATTGCAGTATGATAAAAATTTAAGAACTAAAAAATAGCTTTTGCAATACTGTATGTACTTATATGATCATACAAATAAAATTCGATTTTTTGTTCTTGTGTATGTGGTGAGAAATTTGTTTTAAAAGTTAGGACAATGCAGTAACAGGTGATTCGAGGTTTCAAAGTGAGATTTACTCATAATAATAATAATAATAATAATAATAATAATAATAATAATAGTATTAGTTTTCTCACTTAGGTCGCTCTCAGGTCTTGGATTGTAACATATAAGGCATATGGAAAGCATCATCATCATTATTATTAAAGACAATCGAACGTTAACCTCAAAAATAACATTTAAAAAGACTGAGCATCTTGCTATACTAGAAGCTCTTGTATACATATTTGTGCACTACTATGATCATCCTATGGCTGCTGTAAGAAATGTATCCTGGGACCAGGCCCCGCATTGGGGGAAAAGGCGAAAATGTCCGAGGCTGTAAAAGCTGATGTAAATTCTCCCCAGAAATCCAGTTACTGGTACCCTTAGTAAGCCCCAAAACGTTCCAAGTTGTGAGAGTTAAATTCAAGCTTGGAAGGGCATGAAGAGAAGTGGGAGCGGATAAAAATATAAATAAAAGAATACCAGCTTTCCCTCGATGCAGTTTTAAAAACCACTTCAACTTATGCCGATCAGGATTGTTACTAAAGCGTATCAGTTACACTATCTACTGCATACTGGAAATCTATTTCTCTTTTCGGTTGATATTGACTACCATTATGACTCTCATTAGCTTGTGTATAAATTTTGTATGTTTTTGTTTCCCACTAAGTGCCACGTGGTGTACTTAACGGAAAGCCCAGCGTTCTTTCTGGTTCTTTGTCGTTTCATAAGTTATGCTTACATATGCACATGACTGGGGGGTAATTTGAAAGAAACAGCTCTCGGGAGTAATGTCACTGGACCATCAAACAACAAACCATACAAGCTAAGGGGCTCTATTATGGTATTCGCTAACATCAATAGAGCGGCGCCTTGCCAGATGCAGTATATGATGAAACTGGTACGCTCTTGGCCACTTTAGCTATGATCCTGATCACCTTACATACAGAAATAATAATAATAATAATAATGTTTCAAGCTGCCTTTAAATATAGCTGGTAATCACTGTAAAGCTTGTAATCTCAACAGCTTTCGCTTAAAGATTAGAGTGAGGATATTCTACATTTCAGTTAATTTACCACTGTACTTCGAGTTTAAAGGTTACTTTTTTCCTTTTTGTTTTCAAGTATAGTAAATGATCCCTTTAGTGCTTACTTGCAGGCGCTTTCAAGTGTTTCTCTTTCGATACTTTTCAACAACAAGGTTGCCTGGTCCTGTTGATTACTGGATGGCTTACTGAACATAGAGACACTAAAATAGCGAGAGGTAAACAAAAGAATACAATAGAATTAGTGCATAATAGTGCGTAGCATTCTACTACCTATTTCACAGTTCAAGTAAAATCACGCTAACAATGGAAGTACTGGCTGCCACTTTATCTAAATAAAAGTATACTGTACTTTAAAGTCCTCCAGCAAGTACTCTGGTGTGAAGTCAGTTGACTAGCTAAAGTAAAGGAGGAAAGAAGAACGGCTATTCTGGCTAGTTGAAGTAAACTCTTGCATGAACAAGTTAGCCTACGAGCAAGCCCCCTATTTGGAGAGGCGTGGGGAAAGAAAAAGAGTGCTACTTCTCCCTTTCCCGGCTTCGTCGCTCCCGGATCACTCGCGCGTTGTAGACTAGTGAAAAGGGGCTCCCCATTCCCGCAAGCCACTCCATTTAAGGTCAGTTTAGCCAAGAAATCCCCTCTTGGTTCAGCGTATCAGGTACACCTTCTGATTCGTCTATGTAAGGGGAGTCCGGATTTCGGAATCCTGGAAATTCTGGATTGCAGAATTCAGTATCTATATAGGCGATTTTTTCGCTGGAATACGGAATCCTGGATCGTGATAACTCCTACACCGAAAGACCTATGACGTTCAAATTTTCTGACTTTTCCTAAAATTTATCTAGAAACATTTTGGTATAATTACCATGTCCATGTGATTAATCATGTTGCCATGGCAACCAGTTTCTGACACATAGGTTTTGGAAAATTTAAAAAATGTTGATTTTTTTGTTTTAAGATCGCGTTTTTACACTTATAGTGCTTTTTGTTGTTAAAATGGTCTTTGCTTGGGACTAGTTTTTGAATTACATCAAAATGTTTCAACATCGAATATTTGGGGGGAGGGGTGGGGTAAAATTTGCCACTTTTTTGCTTTGACAAATATGATGCTCTATTTTCCAAATAACACTTCCAAAGTCATTTCTTTGGGTAATAAACATTAGTTTGATACTTCCTTTATACATTCTGAGCTTTTTCCTCTTTGAAAGTTGCTTTAAATTATAATTTTAACAAAAAAACGGAAATCCAAGATGGCGGATCCAAGATGGTGGACAACCATTTCAAATTTTAAATTTTATTCCTTCCTATTGCTTTTTCTCCCTGTACAAGTGTTTCCTTGTTACTAGTTCATAAGAAAGGATAACAAAGAGATGACTTTAGCAATATTCTTGATATTTTACGTATCTAAGTGGAAAAATAATAAGAAACATTGAAAAATATGACGTCACTGTGACGTCATCATTGGGCGTGGCAAGTCAAAACTGGGCGTGGGGCTTCTTTGTACGGAGATGATCATTGTGTGTAAATTTCATGACCCTAGCATTATTGGTTCCAGAGATACAGAGGGGGGGTCCGAGGAGCCCCCAGTCACAGATTGACCGAAAAAAGCCCAGTCTGAATAGGGTTAAGTAATATCCGGAATCCGACTAACGATTGGAATCCAGTTCCTGGAATCCGGAATCCATGGCTTGGAATCCCAAATCTAAGACTGACTTGGATTCCCTTATATGGGGCGAACTGATATATGCCGACGGACGGCCCTGTTGGTAAGCTCTTGCTACTAGGGAATGCCACTATATAAACCCCTCTTTAGGCTGTGCATTTTGTTTACCAAGTGCGAGTCATATGAGAAGGTATCAAGGAAGGTTTCCTCAATCTTTTAATAAACTATGCGTACATATGCACGTGAATGAAGCCAAATTTGAACTAAACAGATATCCAGGGTAGTAGATGTATCAAGTAACCTGTCAGTGAAGAAAGCAATAACGCCCATGACTTGTTTTATTTTTTCTCCTTTTATACCCGGTATCACCTTTTCTCTTAGATCCGTCGAGTTCTCAGACGGAATGAGCGCGAAGGCACTAAAAACACTTTTCCAGTGATTTTGAAGAAAATAAAAGACTGCTCGCAGTCTACAGTAGCACGAGAAAAAAGCGCGAAATCAAAGGGTGGGTAAAAGAAATACCGTTTGCCGGGATAAATATGCCACTCCGTGGTAGAAGACAAAGATTGCCGAGCTGTATCTCTTAATTACACAAATAAACCACAAAATCCTTCTTCTACGCATGCTATGCAAGCTGTCCTTTCTCATCTTTATTAAAGTATGATTTTTACCCTCACATTTACGATGATTATGATTCTGCCTCGTGGCCAGAGATGATGTAAATGTTACTGAGAAAAGTAATCAAAATTTATTTAACAGGCCTTTCTCCCACGAGTCTGAGGAGTTTTTAATTATTATCCACCCGTCCAGCTTTTACTTACGCGCAGGTGCTTCTAAACGATCGACAAATTTTATAACATATTGTGTCTATTTTTAGATGAAATGGAGCATTTGAGTGCGGGCGTAGACCAAACTTATGTCATTTACAGTGTATAGCACTCCAGAAGATACCATTCTGACTGTTCTGGAACATTTAGTTGCTGTATTACGTCAATTAATGTACTGAATCCACGTATTGCCGGGCACCTTGCTTTTGATTCCTATATGACAAGTGTGATATCTTCTATAGTAATATTAAATAAAATCTTAACTGTAAGCGAATAAACTAACATGTATTTCGCTTTAATGTCACACTGAACTAATGGAGTTGACACATTTAATGTCAAAATTCATGCAGTCGTTCTATCACCAACCTGTTTCAGTATACCATGCCTTCCTGTTGTTAAAACAATCTTATTTTCCCTGGTTCGTCTTGGCTGGTCAACATCAGGAACTATTTCTCGAATTAATCTTAGGGGAAAAAAAACCTAGTAGGTATGTAGCCGCTAGGGTGTTAACCGTAAATTGTAGATGTGATAATTTAAACAAGTTAACCCTCTGAGGTACAAGGGGGGTATGGCCCTGTACAAAGTGGTAGAGCCACTTTTGTCACAATAATCTAGTTGAAAAAAGAAAAAAAGGAACTGAGGAAACTCTTGTTCAAAACAATAGCCTTGTAGCTGCAAAAAAGTCCAAAGAAAACCTACAGAACCACAGCCAGCAAGACACACCCCCTTAATATACAAAAATTCTTCTTGTTTAAATTGGAGCGGCGTGCAAAGACATTTAATATTTGTTCTACTGCACTAGCAGACACATCAATAAATAAGTTATTGGCGTCTAAAGTTACTCAGAACTAGACTAAGAATGATGTCTAATTTTCTTTTTCACACCATCAACTTAGTGCTTCTTTTCTCGTTTCGATCTTGAGAACTATTTGAAACTTTGCGCTGGCGAGAAATGTCAACTATTTATCCTTAAGTATTATGTTATTCACGTTAGATCCGAAGTGAGGTGACATGTTTAATGTAGGTAGGTAGGTAGACAGGTTTATATGATGCCTCTGCTTGTGCCTTTTCGAAAATCGACTAGCACGCCAATCCCCGCGGTTATCTCATACGCGCGCTCGACGATCTCTAAAGTCTGTGAACAGTCTAGTTTCGCTATAGCGATATTTTTTCCTAACTTTAACTTCATACTGTGACTGCAGAGCTTTAATAAGCAGCATCTCCTCGCATTAACTCCTCTATGCTGCGCTAAAGTTTACAGGGATGAACGTTTCAAGGCCAGTATATCAGGCATAACATGACATGGCAGAAACTGAGAGAGGAGCAGGTCGGGACCACGCATTCTCTCTTGCAAAAGCCAAGGATTCAGGGGCCTGAAAACAACTCGTTATGCGTGTGTTATCAAATGTACTGGCCTGGTGTGCTTTAGTGAAGAGATTTTTGGTGTCACACTGAGCGTTCATAAATGATTAGCCAACTTACCTTACGTATCGTAATCGGTAAAAAGGAACATTGCATAAGAAAATGTGGAGAGACTGAAGCAAAGGTTATGAACGTGCGAAACCTCAGTGAACACAGGTGATTTGTGCAGTGCGAGTAGGTTTTATGTCTTTACAGCGATGACCTTCTCCTTTCCGAAGTTCAGATTTATATTATTGAAAAGAATCGTGAACAAACAAAAAAATACAGTGGGATTATACTAGGAAGTATACTTCCGAAAAACAAAATGAATTATTAAAATATTAGTAAAAGAAACACTGAACCCAGCGTATTGAGAAAGATTGAATCACACAAACGTTGTTACGCAGTTTTTTTTTTCGCCATTTGTCTCCCAGCAAAGAACAAAGCATTGACTTTTATTCAAACCAAGGTTTATATTTTCAGTATCAGAAAGAAAATGACCAAGAGTGTACTGTAAGGAACCCTGCGTTGAAATCACTGGGTAGATGAAATGAGGAGGGAATGGGAGGTGGCTAATAAGCGTGCTAAAGTGACCTTTTTGGTGACGGAACGGCCACGCTAAGCAAGAGAAGATGTCGCGACTAGTACTTGCTAATCTCGCCATCAGCACTGTGAATTGAAGACAGCCTTGTTAGGGTGATGGGTATTAATTTCGACAGCGATAGAATTTGACGAATGCAAATGGCATCTCATCCAACTTGAAACTAGTTTTGTCAGTTTTAGAGGAACAAGTTCTGTAAGGAAGTTGTTCATCTAAATTCTTCTAAGTTGCTTCCTTGTTGGCTTAAATCATAATTACTTGTTATGATCGCATTACAAATACCAAACATCCCTTTTACGGTTCAAAAGGTTTGGATAGCTTATTAATTCGAAAAAAAACAAAAAGGATTGATCGCTAATCTCCTCTTTCGACGCTTATACACAAAGACACTACTAAAAGGATATAGCGGAGACGTGATGAAAAAGAAACTGATGAGTGTCCCATAGCTCTGTAGTAGTTATAATGCATTTATTAAACAATAACTTTGTATCACTTTGTCATTGCAGTGACTTTATTTTCCCCATTGTTTTTGATGGAGCAAGTCAGATTTTCTGTGCACATTTTGAGAGAAGCGAATAAACTGTCAATGAGCTTCGCTATGTCAGACACTAATTAAGAAGCTGCAACTCTTGACACTTCAAGGAGAAAGCAAAATAGTACATCACGGGAACATCGACTGTAGCAAAGACGTTCGCCAAAGGTTGGGAAAGGGAAGGAATGGATAAAGCTCTTGACCGACTGCAGTGAACCAACGCGCGTTGTCATTCGTGTGTCTCGGGCGTTTTGCTTGACGGACCACGAAAAAAGAAAGACTGCTCGTACGGTCTATGAACCAAAAGTTTGCATTCTGCATTTGGGCGTATTAATTTAATTTCTCTCAGCAGATTGTCGAACCATCCCAATTTCGTCAGGATTGCCCCGATTTTGCTTGAAAATCTCAAATCTTGACCAATATATGATCGGGATAGGAAAAATCTCGATTTTGACATCTTTATCATGCAGAACACCAGATACTGAGTGTAATTAGCTGAAACTGATATTCCAAAAACTATAGAAGCTGCCAGAAATATAACAAAAAATCGAGTACTCGTACGCGAAGCCACGCAAAGGAACAAAGCGACAAAGGGGCCTTTGTAGCTACGGTCAGCCATCTTGATGGTCCTTTCTAAATCCTTGATCACCGCGTACAAGGGGTACCGATCTTCCAGTTCGAGTGGCTTTCAGTGAACTCTCGTCAAAATATCGGAAAACATCTTTCAGCGTTTTAGTTAGGTTAGAAGTTCGGCCGTCAATTTCAATTTACATTACGGTCCCAAATATTCCCATTATTCAGCATTGAAAACAAGCATAAAAATGGCGATCGATTTACCAACATTTTAGCTTTAGCATGGCCCCATACCCTCCTAGTGGGTACTCGCGTAAGCGAAGCCACGCAAAGCACAAAGCGGAGTGTATGCAGTAGGGAAATTAGACGCTTGCGTCATTAGTCTATCTTTATTAAAAAAAAAAAAAAAAAAATATCCCGATTTTTCCACCTAAAAGGGTTGGACAGTCTGGAATCTCATACCATGGATGCCAGAGATTTTTTCACGCGTGTGACGAGCGACACGTCTCGGTAACCTGACAAACCATCAGTTCTAGGCATGAAATGGTAATCTGTTCCAAGACTATTTCAGGTACTCGGTAGTAAAGATTTTACAATTTTTAGGTATATTGGTATCTAACGAGGAAAAAATGGGGTATTGGTATCCTAACAACCCCCTGGCGGGCCTGAGTAATAAGCAATTTCACTACACTGGATTACCTTCTGCTAAGTGGTTATGGCACTTCGACCGTTTCTTGATCCAAAGTTGCCTAGTCCCCATACGGCGTCTTTCCAAGCCCTCTCGGTCAATGCATTTCGGTGACGTATCCGAGACGAACGGCTGGGAGACGCCTAGACAATCTCGGAGTGCGCATGCGTGAGCATTTTTGCATTTTTGAAAAGTTCTCACGTTCAACTGAAATAATATATAAATAACTTTGCGCGTGAATATCCTTCGCTTAAGGATCGGCACTAATAACCTGGTTTCTGTTATCAAAGAACAAAAATATTACTCTGAATCGGAAAGAATACTACTGTATAACGTGCAAGTAATTTCTCTTTTAGTTCATTTTCAAATGAACCATTAAAATGATATTTCTTTATTGTTAAAAAAAAATTGAAACAGTAGTTTGTTGACATTCTACTAAATTTAGAGACGAAATTCAACAGCCTGTCCGATTAGTTTGATAAGCTTCCAAATCCAAAAATTAAATTACATAAAATATTTCGAAGTGAAATGATAACGATAAATTTATAGGAGCAAGCGAAAATAGAGAAACGAAAGATAGCTTTTCATATCCAAGAATAAATACAAACTTATTTGGCTTAAGCTTACCTTCCGATTCTTGATCAAATAATTTTTTTGTGACGCTGATTTGCTTAGCCTACAAATAGTTTTTGAGATGAAATAAAGTTCAAATTACTTTAAGGAGATAAATGAAAAAGAAAGGCCCAAAGGACTTTCAACAACGAAAACGTGCATAGAATAAAAATGCTCGGTTTAACTCCATCCTCTGTACTCTCCATGGCTGCTGGACATCTTTCATCAGCGCGGAAAAGTTATTGACAGCTCGCCCGCCTCCAAAAGCTCCGCCCCAAGTGACACAAAATGTCTCACTTCTCCGAGTTTGTCTAGGCCTCAAAAACTTTCTCGGACCACGAGACCCGAAACGCATGAGCCGCGCATAACAATGAGGCCTAGGGACTAAGCAAGATCTGAAGCATTAATCTTTCGCTGTAGCCTGTACCAGAATATTATATTACTATATCTCTGAAGAAACGTGATGCGTCAAAATTCCTTTTATTTGTTTAGAATCATGCTGGGGATTTTTAGCCGTCCTATCAGAAGAACGGATTTTTTTTTTGCTTTAATATGGAATCAGAGAATTGAAGGCATCCCTGTCTAAAAAGTAGCTAATAAAGAATCCTTCAAGTTCTTAAACAGTTTTCTAAGTTCATCCATAACTCAGTAGTTACACACTCCGCCGTTTAATTTTTTTATGTAACAAATCAACGGACAAAAATATTTATATTTACAGGAGCCGACGAGTGTGTTGTCATTTGAGCCCGCTAGTGCACTATATGGCATGCACTAAAAACGTTCTTTTCGAAAACGTTCTGTAAAAAACAAACAATTAAAAAAAAAACAACAGCAACAACAACAACAACAACAATCTTCGTGCTCGATAAGTAAAATCGCTCGAAAATCGGCGAGCACGCCAATCCCCCGCGGTTTTTCATTTCAAACGCGCGCTCAACGATCTCTAAACTCTGTGAACAGTCTAGTTTCGCTGTAGCGATATTTTTTCCTTACTTTGACCTCACGCTGTCATTTAAGACTGCAGAATGACTGCAGAGCTTTAATACGCACCATCTCCTCACATTAACAGAGAAAGGAGGTCGGGACCGCACATTCTCTCTTGAAAAATCCGAGGGTTCATCAGGGGCCTCAAAACAATTCGTTGTGCCTATCTTATCAAATGAAGTGAAGAGATTTTTGGTGTCAGCGCTCATAAATAATTAGACAACTGACCGTTATCACAATCGGTAAAAAAGTACACTACATAACAAAATGTGGAGAAGCAGGCGAAATCGAGACGGGAGCAAAGGTTATGAAACATGCGAAGCCTGTGCTTTGTGCAGTGCGGGTAGGTTTCATGTCATTATGGATGACCTCCTCCTTTCTGAAGTTCAGATTATTGAAAAGAATCGTGAACAAACAAAAAAATACAATGGGGTTATATTGGGAAGTATACATCCGAAAAACGAAAGGAATTATCAAAATATCGGTAAAAAAAAAAAAAGGAAGAAAAATACTGAAGCCAGCGTTTTGAGGAAGATTGAATCAAGTCACGTGAAAAGTCGTTACGCAGGAATTTTTATTGGCCATTTTTGCCCAACAAAGAACAAAGCACTAACTTTTATTCAAACCAAGGTTTAGATTTTCAGTATCAGAAAGAAAATGACCAAGAGTGTACTGTAAAGAACCCTGCGTTGAAATCACTAGGTAGATGAAATGAGGAGGGAATGGGATAAACTAATAAGCGTGCTAAAGTGACCTTTTTGGTGACGGAACCGCTACGCTAAGCAAGAGAAGATGTCACGACTAGTGCTTGCTAATCACGCCGTCAGCACTGTGAATTGGGGACAGCCTTGTTAGGGTGATGGGTATCACCTTCGACAGCGATAGAATTTGACCGATGCAAATGGCATTTCATCCAACTTGAAACTAGTTTTGCCAGTTTTAGAGGAACAAGTTCTGTAAGGAAGTTGTTCATCTAAATTCTTCTAAGTTGCTTCCTTGTTGGCTTAAATAACAATTACTTGTTGTGATCACATTACAAATATCAAACAACCCCTTTACGGTTCAAAAGCTTTGGGGAGCTTATTAATTCGAAAAAAAACAAAAAGGATTGATCGCTAATATCCTCTTTCGACGCTTATACACAAAGACACTAAAAGGATATAACTGAGACGTGATGAAAAACAAACTGACAAGTGCCCCATAGTAGTAGTAGTAATGCATTTATTAAACAATAACTTTGTATCACTTTGGCATGGCAGTGACTTAATTTTACCCAGTTTTTTTGATGGAGCAAGTCAGATTTTCTGTACACATTTTGAGAGAAGCGAATAAGCCGTCAATGAGCTTCGCAATGACAGACACTAATTAAGAAGCTGTAAACTCTTGACACTTCACTGGAGAAAGCAAAATAGTACATCACGGGAACATTGAATTAAAGCGAAAAGTTAAAGTCGAACATTTAATATGCAGTTGGAGAAGTTGTCTTTGGAGGAAAAGGGGAAGGTAAAGAGAATGAGGTTAGTATATGTAAAAATTTCCTTATTGTCTGTGGACAGGAACTAATGATATATAAGTGCAGGATGTTTATTTAAAACGTCACGATTAAGCCACTGTTCTCTAAGGGGCAAAACAGTGAGGGGGGGAACTTCGAAGGAGAAGCGGCCTGAGGGGGTTAACGCAAGTTCTTTCCTCTACCATTTTTTGGTCATTTTTTTGGTGACATCAGAATGATACTGCAATACTTAGGCCAATTCTCCGAGTAGTGTTTCCCCCCATTTACTCGATCCTAACTTTAGGACTATGATAAATTATGTCTATTTTTGGTAATTCAGTGCTTTACTTCCCCATAATTTGTCCACGCAACAAAAATGATGCCTTCACGTAAAGACAATCTGTATATTATTCGCATGAGAGGAAGCATTTCTTCAGTTAAGCCAAGATGGTGGGCGAGCTACACCTTCCGTTTGTCCTCTACGCGGTATGCACTGCTGTGCTTCTTGCTCAAGGAAGTCAAGGTACCCGTAACCGTGAAGTATTTGCTTATTGAAATGTTTCACGAATATGCTTTTAAATTCTGATATTTGATGGTCATTTTCTACGGTAAAGTTGATGAAAGTTTCATTTCAAGAAAGGGCACAGGAATTGGGGATGTGGCGCTCAGGGAAAGCGCAAGTAACGGAACTATATGTGTTTAAGGCCATTGTGCTCAAGGCGTTTTGAAATTTTAAAAAAATATATATTGCAGCCACCGTAAATAGCCCAGAGGCAACTGAAGCTTATTTTTACTAAGACACTTCTATTCTCTTTATAATAGCAATCAGTTTGAAAGCTGGAAAAACCAACGTCACTGTTAAAAGTCCAGGGTTGTTCGCTTGTGAGACAATCACATTTGCTGAACCGTTCTCTGGTGGAAAGCAAGTAAAAGTCTATGCTTCCTTTGGCCACTCAGTTAACAACCAGGCCCGTGGTAATGGTGCTGCTGTTTGGGTAGAATCGGCAGATAGAACTCAATTCCGCGCTTGTATTTACGAGTACAGCAACGGCTCAAATTCAACCGCTGAGATAAACTGGATTGCCCTACAATCTGCTCCCAAAGGAACACAACTAGGAACCACTTCCCTGGACTCTTGGACTACCGGAACAGAATGTAAAAAGATCGACTTTCCTCAGGTACGTTCAATTATGCTATGATAACCTACAAGGTGCCCATGCAAGATTAATCTTAGAAAGGCAGAAACGGGTGAGTCATGTAAGTTATAGTCAATAGATGTAACTCACGACCGCAAATGCGATTTCTCTTAAGGAACTTAACCAGCTGTTCAATCAATGAATTTAGACAGAAAATTGACGTCACTTTAGTTGAAAGTTCAATTACCTACAGTTAGATACATGCTATTATGCACGGACTTCATGATTTAATGGGAAATGACGATAAAAGTCTAAAAGGTGAATCGTTAATTTGTTTTCAGAACGATTAATACAATGAAACAGCTTAATCAGTTTGTACTGTGATCTTTTGTTACGCGGCTCTCCCTCATTGTCTCCCTGTATTTTGTTTGTCTGTTTTTTTTTTTCTTTTTTGGAATGCGCAGTATTATAACTAAGACAGATGTCCACTCCATGACCCACACTAGTCCAGCCATGCATATTATCACCTACCCCCCCACCCTCTACGACCTCATACCCTCTCACTCTTTTATCCGTATTTGATTATTACATTCCCATATATACGAGTCTAAAAGCAATAAAGCATTGGCATTAGATGTCAGTTCCTACGCTCGCCGCCGTAAATCTATTTAGAGGATCTTTCATGAAATATAATCATTAAAAACGGTACACAAACTGAAATTTAATTATTTAGGAAAGATAGAAGATCTAACTTGTATTTTTGGCC